TCTGAGCATTTTGGAACGGGGATAGGAGGGGTTAAAACACACCATGTGGTAAGGGACCTTTATTCCGGTGCACGAATAGCATATCCCCTATCAAAAAGAGATGTTGAATCACATGCCAAAAATTTTCGACATTTCGTGGGATTGAAAGCCAATGAACTTGCCACCCACACACTTATCAAAATGGACGAAGCGCAGGAATTGGAGCAGGCTGCCCATCAGGTCGGCTTCGTTCCTGAGACGTCCCTTCCCAACCGTTGGCCGCACAACGCTCTCTTAGAGCGCGACATCCGGGAGGAGAAAGAGTGTTGCAGGGTCGTTCATTTACAATCTGGTTTGCCCTATGAGTATCACACATACAGTTACCCATACGCATGTCTTTCCATGACTTTTGATAGACCTTCTATTGTGGACCCTGAAAAGACCCAATGGGAAGCTCTTACACGTGAAAAGTTTGATGGCAAGCGTTTGTGTTTTGGTCAACTTGTGTACTATCGCAAGAAGCATCCAACAAAAAGGACCTTAGAACCCAATATGGCTCCTGGTTTGTTTCTTGGTTGGCGAATCGATTCTGGTTTTCGTTATAGGTATGTTGTTCGGATATTAGATTATCAAGAGTTTCGAACTAGAGGTGCTTCACGTGTTTCCGATGTACCCGAGCCTGAACTATACCTTCCAGATGGTGATGCCTATTTTCCCGTCGGTTTTTCGAAGCATCAGGCCTTGATCAGGGGGGATGATCCCGATGATGTTAAACTTCCTGAAATAGCCCTGCAAAATGTTCCGTTTCCACCAGACGGCGGTTTAGCTTCCCCATCTACACCCGGCCCCAAACCTAGATCGGTTTATATCACCTTAGACCGCATCATAAAGTTTAAGGAGACTCCCGGTTGTACAGGGTGTAAGAATAAGACTCGGTACCACAATGCAGAGTGCCGTAAACGGTTCCAGAAACTAGTTGATGAAGAAAAGGAGCTGGAAGCCAAGTCAAAGCCCATATCAGAGTCGGTAGTTGCAGAACCTCCGACCGAGGTTCCTAGTGCGCTTGAGGATGCCCCCGTGGGACCACCACCGGAGGACAGTGTATTTGATGATGAAGGTGAAATCACAATTGCTGTTCCTTATAGCGTCTCTGGTGCTGCCACCTTGCCCCAGACTGCTCCCAGCTGCGCTGAATTATGTAGGGATTCCTTGCCAGTGTTCGGTGCACAGCCCGTGCCTGCATGCCCCGCAGTTAATCAGCCTCCTAAGAATAACAATAACCGTCGTAAGCGACGTGCCTTGAAGAAAAGCCAGAAATCCAATGAGAGATCAACACTGTTTGAGTTTGCATGTTCCCTCAACTCACAGCTTGGGTTGACAAGTGAGCAATGTAATATAAATCACATTGGGTTATGCAAGGAAAGGATAGACTTAAGTGATGAGAATCAATGTTCCCAACTTGATTATCAAATAGGTGAAGCCGCAAAAGTTGCACCACCTAATCTTTGGTCGTCCATACCATGCACGTCTGGTTCGCCTTGGCAGTATATCAATAGACGGAAGGGAGGAGCTGCTTATATGAAAAGATTAGCGCTCCAACTCCGAGAATCGAAACGACTTTTCAAAAGCTTTACCAAAAGGGCAGAATTAGTTTTGAAACTAGGAGGCACTGTTTCTTTTGAATGGCCACGTCCCTCAACTGGCTGGAAGAGACCAGATGTCGTAGCTTTCTTTAATTCTCACCCTGAGTTTATGGAAGTTGATTTCGATGGTTGTGCAGTAGGTCTTAAGTCCAAGAAAGGTGTTCCCATCAAAAAGCCTTGGAGAGTCCGAACCACTTCCCAAAGAATAGTAGATGTTTTTAAAGATAAAAAGTGCAGTTGTGAACAGCCACATGAAAAGTGTGAAGGTTCGGAAACGGCGCGATCAGCTATGTATCCTGCAGAGATGGCATTTTTGATTACCCAAGCGCTGTACCCTGCTAAGTGTTCTCAACAACATGCTCCCGCAATGCCATGCGCTCCACTTTCAACCGAACCTCAAGAGCACCGCGAAGTTGAACAACATCTTAAACATGTGTCCCCACTAGCTGGTTTTGAGGATCTTGCAGTTGCCATTGAAACAGATCCAACAGTGAACTGCTTAGTGTCGGAGCTTCTAGACCATGAGCGTTTGTTGTCACAAGCTTTCGGGCATGAAGATAACAATGAACCCTCTAAAGAGGTTCAAGCTATGGTAACTAAGTTGCTGTCCAGGGCCGAGATGTTATCCAACCCCCAAGCCCTTGATGCTGTTAAGGTCGAGGCCGATGGACTGATCAAGGCAGGAACGTGGTCACTTGATTCCGTTCGGGAAAAGGAAGATGTACGCGCCGAGGCCAAGCGCACAGGAGTGTCCGTTCATTTCGGGCAACTCATGACCATAGCGTCCATTAAATTCTTCGAGCTTGCGCAGCACCTGCAAGAGATGAAGGGCAGGATCGTCTATAGGGGCGACTGCGCAAAGGACGAACATGGCGCTGCAGCGGTCTACCAGGAGCTAGGGGCAAACCCGACTTCGGTCCAAGGTTTAAATGCTTGTTTGGCATACGGTTCCCTGCCAGGTAATAGCTCATCCGCAGCCGATGCTGTAAAGGCTTACGTTCAAGCACTCCTGTCTTCAAAGTACAAGACCTGGATAGAACTCCCGCCTGAGCTAAGACCAAAACATTGGCGAGATAAGTTTGTTAAACCTGTAGTCCTCCTAGTTAAAGCCTTATATGGTCATCCTGATGCCGGTGGCCTTTGGGAGCAGCACCTAAAGAAAATTATCCGCAACCTAGGTGGCCAAGAGGTACCTGAATACCCTGGTAACTTCTTTTTCCTAGATACTAAGTTGTTGCTTTCCACCTATGTAGATGATCTCACGCTTGCTGGTCCCACTGACCAACATGACGCCTTCTGGGCAAAGCTGACATCTGTTGTGGATATTGAACCACCTGAACCAATATACCGAATTTTAGGTCGCAATCATCTAGTAATGCCATTGCCCAAAACCGAGGGTTCCGAGGAATGTGCTGCGTTTCGCGCACAAGAAGCCTTAGTCTTTGACATGCTAGATTATGCACACCAAACAGTTGATCTTTATAAGTCCATCACCAACACCAAAAGTTTGAAGCATGCTGCCACTCCTTTTGTACCTGATGGTTCTGTCTCTGTTGAAGATGAAGAGGCTAAAGGTGAACTGGCACCCAATGCATGCCGCATTCTTATGAAGGCGTTGTGGCTTGGTCGGCTGTCCAGACCTGATATAATCAAACCCATAAATGATTTAGCCACTAAAGTGCAGTCTTGGTCCAGGGGGGACGATAAGAGGTTGTTAAGACTCATCCAATACATAGACTCTACACCCCAATACCGTCTAGTGGGTACCATCAAAGATAATCCCGAAGATCTTGAGTTACGTTTATACGTTGACGCAGATTTCGCCGGTGATCGTCTTAGTGGAAAATCCACATCCGGTGGGTATTTAGTTCTATATGGGCCTAACTCCTTCTTCCCTCTTGCGTGGGTCAGCAAACGCCAAACATCCACATCCCGTTCTACAACAGAATCAGAAGTGGTTTCATTGGCTTATTCCCTTTACCAAGAAGGCCTGCCGGCCCTGCAACTATGGGAGCTTCTCCTAGGGCGCACCGTGACGCTTAGAGTCTTAGAAGATAACCAAGCTACCATCCTGGTAGTACGTAAAGGTTATTCCCCTAAGCTTAGGCACATCACCCGCACCCATAAGGTTAATTTGTCCGGGCTGTCCGAAGTCTTCCGTGATGACTCAGCCGAGCTTGAGTACTGTCAGACCGACAGTCAGGCTGCGGACATCTTCACCAAAGCGTTGCCACCCCAAAAGTGGGCCCCGGCACTGCGCTTGCTTGGCATCCGCGTAGATTTAGGTAGTGAACTTAAACCCAAGGGAGGGGCAGCTACCTAGCGCCCTAACCTGTATACTAGTTGCCAGCGTTAGATCGGGTAGGGGGGAGTAGAAATATTACGACCCCTATACCACCACTGTATATACTAGTATTAGTTCACTCCTTACTGTTGCTATGATTCCAACTCCACAAGAGTATTGTACAGTACTCCAACAGTAGTCGCAACCTATAGCTAGAAGCGTTAGCCATAGGTAGAGCCCGTAGTGTAGGTAGGAAATGGTTACCCCTTAACCAGCAGGGTCCGTAACCATAGTAGCCCACCGAACATATCTGGCTCAAGCGCTCCGCAGTAAAAGGAGCGTTTGCAACATCTATGGGACAGGGGAGATTAATTGGTTGTTTCTTGTTTTTCCCCCTGTTTCTCTTTAAAACATCATAAAAAATCAACTAGCGAAAATGATCATAATCTCCGTGGGATTTCTTGGCAGTTTTTTTTTGTCCCAAAGTCACCAAGTTCGAGCATCCACGCGTGAAGTTTTTCTGCCCTTTGTTGAGTTTAAGCCTCCCAGAAACCATGGTGGATGATGGTGGACCATAAAGGAAATGTGCCATGATCCCAGTGGAGGACAGCGAGGACAGCTTATCACTGAAGTGGTTGCAGATATTAACCTGCAATGGTATGAACATTAATATAATATGGCATGAGAATCATGACTATTCCAAATATATTAAATGACGACCGCGTTTGAAATAATGTGAAGCCACTGAAGAATGAAATAAACTATCCACCTCAAATTACATCAGTTTACGGTAGAAACAGCTGTCAAAGATGCAAGTGGAGAACCGCAATTTGGTTGCTGCAGCAATTGATCTGGCTCACCGGTAGCCAGTTTTCCCTGCTGACCGGCCAAGGGGTTCATAGGACCTACGGTTCCCAAAAAGCAGGCCATCTTTCGAAGGAACTTCACTCCGACATGCAGAAAAGTAGCCTCCAAAAACATGGAGAATCCTCCGGACATCTGCCGTGAACTGCTGGTTTTTTGTTCGGATGGTTCGCCACGGAGTACCCCGGATCCACCTGGCAGCGTCTGAATTCAACTAGCTTTAGATCGCAATGAGACTTGTCTGCTTGGCCTTGGCGATTCTGCACCTTTCGGCAGTTCCACAGTGTCTTGGCTCTGCATGAGATGAGACATGTCCGGGATTTTGCCAGACCTTTTTTAATTAAGATCTGGTAAATGGATGTAAATGGGGCATGGAATTATGATATTTTATGCAATTTTTATGCTAATTATATGGGTTTACCGTTTTTGTTTTCCCAATTGATCATCAGGTCCCCGCATTTGTCCGGCTTCCTCCCTTTTTGAATTCCAACAGCCAGATGCAGATACTGTGTGGTTTTTTTTGCGCAGAGCTCATCATGCTGAATAGAAAGGTAATAAGGATAAGTTGTCAGAAAAGGACCATGCTTCTTGGTCTTTTATATGCCTACATAATTGAGTCGTCCACCATGAAAATTCACATTGGCCCAGCATCATGGAAGCCAACACACAAGTCATCATTCAGCTGGGAACATGATTTCTGGGTTTGTGGCTGACATCATTTTAGGAAATCCTACGGAGATTTTCTGGACGAAATCCTGGCTCCTGGACTGGCTCAAATGGATCTTCGTATCAACCAAGGTCCCATAGGTAGTTATATGTTGTTTTCCTGATTTATCATATTTGATCTTATGGTCAGATTTTGGATGCGCCTCATTTTATGTCACGTAGAAATCCACGTCTCTTGCGGGGTCCCCATAGTTCCCACCCTGCTCTGCGCTGCTCAGGAAAGAAACGCCAAGGACCACAATCGGTTGTGCGCATGCTCTTGAATTTGCTTGTTGGCCTGTTGCAGCCTGGCATTCTTCATGAAGGATTGAGGAATGGCTCGAAACCGGAAAACTCTAAATACATCTCGATTTCTGGAGCATTGAGTACAAAATGACCAGCCATTGTCACAGATTCAACGATCCGTTTGCAGAGGACGGAATCGGAACATTGGGCGATCCAGAAACAGCTTGAGGCCATCTGAGGACGCCCCCATAAAAAAGCAGATGGCAGTTTAGCAGGGGATAAAATATGATAAAACACATCTTTGGAACCATAGAATGGGGGGTATAACATGGTATAACTGATATTGAGGGGATGGGAACGTTTTTTTTTGGTGTCTAATCCTTCGGAGATGTTTTTTGGGTGCAAGAAGTTGCTACCTGATTCCCCAAATTCATCCAAATTCATCTTCATCCTGTTCGATTTCTGCGTGAAAAGCAACCCTTTTGATGGAATAAGACGAAAAATCAGCTCCGAGGGCAATTTAGACCAAAAAGAAGGCTTGAGAAACCGAACCTTGCAGGTAAGGGTGTAAAGTGATATTTACTGGTAGTAGAGTACACCAAGGTTCTGTGCCTATTTTGGTAGTAGAAATAGAAATGTAGGGGGATCCCCCACAAGCTTAAGATGTAGCGGAAAACATCAGGAGATGCATCTGATTCTTGTTGGTGTTGTACAAACCCATGGATTTCCCAATCCAGAAATCCACTATTTGATCCGGTGAGGCGGGACTTGAGCGCCAACGTCTGCGCTCAACTCGGCGTCTCCAGCGCCACAACGGAACCAAGGTGGATCAGTGTGGCAAGGGATATGATTCTATGTAGCTGATGAGTATAGCTGACATCTATAGTTTAACCATGTTTAACATCATGATGAATTTATATGAGGTACGATCAAAACTCTGGTATACTACTTATGTAAGGAGAGTTCTCTGGTGTCTGGAAAATGCACAAAACACTGTGTAGCGATAGACCCCCCCAAAACGATACCTGTGATTGTGCATGATGCCCACATCTGAAGTTGTTTTGCACAAAGTTACGTACATGCAAGAGGCTAAATTAGTGATACCCCTAGCGATACCTTAGCGATACCCATTTGTTCAAAAGTAGACCCAGACCAGACCACAAATAGATCTTTTCCTTTTTCCTTTCCTCTTTTGCCCTTCCTCTGCCCTTACTCCTTTCCTTTTCTCTCCCTTTCCTCTTCCCTTCCTTTTCTTTTCCTTTTCCATTCCTTTTCCTCTTTATTTCTTTTCCTCTTCTTCTCCTCTTCCTTTCCTTTTCTTTTCCTCTTCCCAATCATTTTCCTTTCCTTTCCCTTTCCCTGTTCCTTTTCCTTTCCCTGTTCCTTTTCCTTTCCCTTTCCTCTTCCGTTCCTCTTCCTTGCCTGGATAGCGATAGGCCCCCCCAAAAGCGATACCCAATTTTCGGGAACCATGCGAAGACAATGAGTTTTGACAACGGTTCATATGTTTTTATTGTGATTATGTTTTATCAGGGTATACCCACACAGTGATTATAAATGATTATAATATATAGAATATAGAGGATTATATGAATATATAGATACTACGTTCCTAAGTATTACCTGTTTTTTTCTGGACCACTGTGGCCCATTCCGGGAACCCTTGTCATCCAGCAGTTAACATCCTGTGGACAAGCAACAGGTAGATGACGGATGATGATGGTATGTAAATGGGTACCAAATTGACTATTCTCCCCCAAAAAGGGATAAGTGACTGGCAATTGAATATCACAATATTCAATGTTTAGTTGATCTACAACTGTGCGATTCTTGATGTCTCTGCTAGTGGCTTGAAGGAACATGCCGTTGCGATCGCGCGGATTGAATGGGATTTAGTGGGCATTTATCCAATAAACATGGCTATATCATAGAGATTTAGTGAGTTATGGGGATATTACGTTTTGCATGTCTGAAAATGGGGCACTAACCCGATGAAATTGCAGTTTCAATGGTTTTATAGTGGGGGGGTAGCCTGTTTTCAGATCCAAATAGGTCCGAAAAAAAAAACAACGAGCCAATTTGGTTGACTTTCTGAAAACTAATCTAAAGTACTAAAGAAGAACAAGGTGGCTTCATTGTTGCCCCATTTTGCGTCGCCATGGCCATGTCACAACAACCTGCACCCTGCAACCGAGTTGACTGTGGCGATAAAAAGTACTGTAACCTCAGTAGGGTTTTCTCTTTTCTGCATCGTTTTGGGGGGTATAACTGATAACTATCCTTACAATAACTTTCTTGAATGGAAAACAGTCACATATCAAACAAACTGGCGACTTGATCAGAGCTGCGGTACAGGTGAGTCTTTGGAAAGACCAACGTGTGCTACAAGCGGCACAGAGCTGTTCTAGCACTGCCGATTGTGACGCAAATGACTATTGCATGAACCTCGGACACAGAGCATCAAATGTGCCGGCAGGTCAAGTTGCATCGTAAAACTGTTGTTTTTTTTCCATAAGTTTGGGGATGCTACCCCAGATACCATGTTTTGACCATGGCTTTATGACTGTCGTAGAAATAGTGATGATGATTGGAGTCAATGTCAATATTCTGATTACAATAATGGTACAATGATGAAGCCTTGGTGAACAAGGATAGAAATGCCGCGCATAAATAGCTACCCGCAAAGGTGGCGTTTTCTCGATGACAAGGTTTCAACAGATATATATATATATATAATATCGCAATCATGCACGCACTTTTTTATTGTTATGCCAATTAATGACAATTGCAATCAAGACTAATCCGGATTCATGTTGGGGAACATCTTATAGCTCGAGGGTATTAAAATGAAAGGAAAGCACAGTAAAGACGAAAATCCCAGGTTTGGGTGTTGAACACGGATCCATTATACTGCTAATATCTGATAGTAACAATAGCAAAAAATGCTAAACATATAATCATATATAAATAAATATATGTATATATATACAGTAGACTAATAGTACGATCATGAGAAAAAAACAACTAATTCCTGATGGACATCAGGACCTGTCGGCCAGTGAATCATCGATTCACCGACTGAAGTTGGTCAACTTTGAGCCAAATCGAAGTGAATTGGAATATTTTGGAGGTCTGGATGGTTTGGGTCTTACCGTAATGACATCATTATACACCATTAGAATTATGATATTACGGTGTATAATTTAATGTAGAATTATGATGACATCATTATACACCATTATGATATATCCTGTGAAATTTAAGGGTCTTACTCATCTTACTCAGCGACTGGGGACCTCTCCCAAAATTGGTTGAGTTGAAGGGAACATTGAAAGCGGAAAGCGCTGGAATTGTGGTTGAAACGCCAGGATATCAACCGTCAATTTTTCCTGGTTTCCCCAGCCCATTGACACCAAGGAGTTGCGACAAATGCGCGGAGTACCATGCCTTGCTTCCAAAGGAACAACAAAGGACTGCAGCACTGGTCAGTGTTCGCCCCCAGCTGGTTCAGCGAGATAAGTATGATGAATGACATGAGATGGTCGGCTATATGAAGGTTGTGCGACTGCAAGGGGTGCTTTGAGAAAGTGGGGTAGCCTCTGGTGAACTAACATAGCAATGGAAAATCACTATGTTTAATGGGAAAATCCACTATAAATGGCCATTTTCCATTGCTATGTTAGTTCACCAGAGGGTAGCCACTAACCAGCTTCCAAAGCAGGCCTATTCTTCCAGTCCCCTCCGAAGAGACATTCTGACCCTGGCTGACTTCTAGGGGTGGAGACTAAAGAGAATGTAACCTACCCGGCCTGGTAAACTGTCCCATAACTGTGGAAAATCACCATTTTTTACGGGTAAATCCACTATAAATTGCCATTTTCAATAGCTATGTTAGTTTACCAGAGGGTAATTATTTTATATAGCTTTATGATGATTGTATCAAAGTCATATCCGCTTTTTTGTCAACATGATCACAGTTGGTCAACTTCTCCAACGTCAACCCCGGATAAACAAACTGCTGGTTGCCATTTCAGCAAGTCACCACTTTTTTTGTGACAAACCCCCAAATCTATCGGCCAAGGTCTATAAATCTAGGGGTGTCATTATCGGTCTGTCAGTCATACCCTTCAAATAGCCATGTATGCCATTTTAATGGGGAACATGGTGATTAGCACTATGGATTTAGGGCTACCCTTATTTTGAGACAGACCCTTATAAAGCTGCCTAATCTGGAATGGTTTGGCACCAGAAGGAGCAACATTTCATACACTTTCTGGTGCTTCGGTGCTTGAACCTCCTTGTCCAGATCTGACAAGATTGGAAACCCTCCCCAAGAGTTGTGGTCGTACATCATTTGGGGAGATGTAAGCATCACGTGATTCATCACTCGTCACGAAGAATACTATGGATCGAGTCAATGGGCGGCCTCTTCAATTCTTCCCATATTCCGCCCCTGTGAAAATCACCAGCATCACTTTCCCCATTGAAGCTGAATACAAATGGCGATCATTCCCTCGAAGGCGGTGGACCTGCGATCCCTGCACGACGGGTGCGAAGATTTGCGAAAGTGGGATGCTGGATCTATGCATGTTTTCCCTGTACGAATGGCATGTATGTAACAATTATGTACACATATGTATATATAATTATATATATATGTATATACAATATTATATAATATGATATTATATTATGACCCCCAACAAGATAGAACAGTCAAATCCTCCTAAAATACAGTGGTGAATGTTTTTCCCCAACAGCGTAAGCTAGCTAATGGGGTCCTCAGCCCAGAATAGCTCCGGTGTGCACTGGTGCAGGCGCCGGGTCAGGTTCAACAAAGTTCCGGAGAAGGTTCCGAAGGTTCCAGAGAAGGTCTGGGAGGCTTTGGCGCAGAGCCAGGCCAGATTCAACAGGATTCCGGAGAAGGTTCCGGAGAAGGTTCCGGAGAAGGTTCCGGGAGGCTTTGGTGAAAAGCCGGTCAGGTTCAACAGGTTTCCGGAGAAGGTTCCGGAGAAAGTCGGGGAGGCTTTGGTGCAGAGCCAGGTCAGGGGTTCCGGAGAAGTTTCTAGCACTTGGCTTCGCAGCACGCTTCAGAAGGATTTGTAAGAATAAAACGTTGCGGCTGTTGGGGATACCACCGAAGCTTATCTTCTTTAATCTTTTTGGGGATTACTATTTACTTACTATTTAATGTTATTTCATGGCGTATATCAGTATATCCCGAACATGTGGTCCGTAACCTAAAGTGCTTTTTTTTTTTAATGGGAATTCTCATTCATTGGATCGGTCCATCCGCTAGTCCTTGGAGGACCACAAATGTTCATCGTAACTGCTTAGTAACTGATGATGGTTGTGTGGTTAAAACCTTGCCATAAACTCATAAACCATCTGCTAAATCACCATTTTTATGGGTGGTATATTGGTATAAACTATTCCCAAATGGGTAGTTTATTGTTGTTTATTGTTGTTTTAACCACCAAACAGAACCCTGTTATAACTGGGATAAGCCACGAATCAGGGATCCGATCACCAGGGTTTTGCCAACGGATGATCCTCCTGGGGTGGTAGATATACCGGGGGATGGGCTTGGCGGCTTATGGGAGGATTCACCTCAATATATGGCCATAATATATATATATATATACACTTATACAATAATAATACATAATAATATATATATATAATAAAACTGGTCGCAGAGATTCAACACGACATTCCTATGTCGAACAAGCGGGCGTCTTTTCCTCGACAGCTGAAGATTCCCTGCGGGGTCGAATGGCTATGTTCTGTGCTGGAAGGAGCTGGATGCTCACGTGGACAAGCTGAAACAACACTGGTAATAATCTATTGTTTTGTAAATTGAAAAATCTGCCAGTGAAGACACGGAAAATGGTCGACAGGCCATGTCGACGACATCAACTTTCAGCTCACAAAAGGGGATTCGTGCATCCTTTTCGATCTCTGCCAGCATGGTTTTCCTCAAGACAAAATGCCTAAGCTTTGAAACGACGAACTTGCTGTGTGCCCGGAATTGGAACTCCAGAGCTCATATCATCTTGGTAAAAGTGCATCATGTAGTTGCACAAGTCACGCAACTGGCCCTGGGCATTCTTGCTGTGCGAACGACACCACTTGATGTAGTTCACGGCACGGTCATCCTCAGAATTCATCAAATCAAAATAGCTCATGTTGGCATTCTTGTAGGTACCAAAACTGATCAATGTGCGACCCCATGTCTCAACATCAGAGATGTCGGGTGGCATCTCTGGAAGCATCATCTTCTCCGGCGTAGGCCTCTCTCCAGACACTGGAAAGGGTACTTCGATTCCAGAGCCATGGGCAGCATAGGAAGCGGAAACCATCTCGCCAGAGACACGCATAGGAAAAGGTGCTTGAGCCTTGGGAGTCACCAGCTTCTTGGCTGGATTGTGGAGATCCATCTCCTCACGACGCTTCGAGCCATCAGTCATTGCCCCAGTCGTTGGAGACCAATCGGGCTCTTCCCAAACACTGAGAGTGTCACCAGTGGTCGGATTGATGAACAAACCCGTGTTCGGGTCATACACGGCACGATCTTCAAATTCATTGGAGGCTTTCGGAGGTGCTGCCCTTCCTTTGGCCTTCGCCAAAAGGCGCTGCAGCTCCGCTGACTCATCAGGCGTGAGAGACATTGCGTTCACTAAAAACCTGGGACAGACTTGCACTCACAAAAGGACGCGGTTGGGTCCTTAATTAGAAAAACGGCTGCACACTGATGTTACTGCACGTACACAACAGGGCGATGAGAACTAATCGAAGCACAAAGATTTGCAAGGATGATGAACATGCTCACAGAAAATCTTGGCAGCAATCCACATGGCGAACAAGAAAAGGGTGGAAACACAGGCACAAACAAATGAGTGATAGATTCAGAACATCATCTGGCAGCACTCACCCTATGATCAGCACGGACAAATGGTCTGATCAACCTAGAAAAACAAAACTAAAAGGGACTTGGCCAAGGCAAATCACTCACATACACCCAGGTGAGTGCAAGACAAGAAATTTGCAGGCTACCCTTCGTTTTTGGATTCCGAAAAATCAGAAACCTCCCCTTGTAGAAGTCTGTTACCCCCAGACGTCTGCAACCCTTCTTTGGAATCTAGCTCTCGATTTTTGGCACGTCGAGCACGCTCGGTGGCTTGCTGTGCCAGGACATGGTTTTCAGGAGAAATCTGGTATGACGCAGCTCTGACACAAGACCGGAGCAAATCTGCTGGGTCCATCTTATCCTTGGTTAAGCCATCAGCAATCATTCTGTTTGTTGGAAGCCATCTGACCTGGGCAGACAGAAGTCGTAGCGACTCCCGAATAATGACTATGTCAATACTGGTACGCCTATCTTCCACAGCAGTCGGTGATGATGGTGAAATAAGATGGTCGTACAGCGACTTGCAATCAGTTGCCAAAATGGCAGGCCTACGAGCTAGCATGGCACGGCAATCACGTGGTGCGAAACTTCCATCAAGGGCTTCCATCAGTAAAAGATTAAGCCACTCAACTGTTCCGGTTGCCGTAGCCAAAGCCTGGCTCTCTCCCCCAAGTGTTGAACTGACTGCTCGTGGCAATTTGTATGATCGCCAAACTGCAGGGGTCCAATGTGAAATGGCGCCAGCATGCATAGATTTGTCAACAAAAGCCAAAATGAAACCAGCTTGGGTATGTGTACCAATGTTCGCAAAGGCTGCATCAGAGTGACAACAAACACACAATTTGTTAGGGTCAATGGGCTTGAAATTAATGGTGAGATCTCTATGCATCTTGGCGCGACGGATCGCATTGTTTGCATCTCGCAAATGTCGGATGCGAGGATGCGGGAAAGCCTGCTGACTCATTGAGGTCTGCACTGCTAGATCTGGTCGTGACTGCGACGCAATCCAGTTGAGAGAGCCATTAATGGCTCGAAGAACTCGAATTTGACTCTCGGAGAGCAAATCATCAGGAGAGGCATTCTTCGGGATGGAAGCTGGTCGAAGCTTTTCTGCAAATAGCTTCTGGCTCATGGCTATTTCCTTAGTTTTCTTATCCTGGTGATAAAATGCTCCACAGAATTCTCCAGAGTTGCATCTCCATTTCCGATAAGGAAAACGAGCACGCAGGGCAGTCACAGCATCATTGAATTTCTTGCCAGCACCTCCTAGGGCGGTGTCATCAACATGAACACCCATCACACCAATGAGTTTTGATTCTTCTCGAAGAAAATACAAACAGGGGTCAAACTTGGAGCGCTCCCAACCAATACGACATGCTTCTTCATCGAAAGTGCGGTGCCATGCCAACGGTGCATCGTTCTGTCCATAAACATTGCCAGTCACTTCTATGATGGCTTCCGGAGGGAGGCCTGGGATGCCACCGGCAGGTTGCTTCGCAAACAATGGTCGAAAACGATCTGGCAGGGGACCTGCTTCTAAAAATGCCCCTTTGATATCTCCAAGTTGAAGATCCCATCCATGTGATGCAATGAGTTGCATAGTCAACATCCTGCCCATCTGGCTTAAAGTAGGTGACTGCAGCAGGCCATCTTGGACTTTGCAATCCAAGTCAGGGTCGAGATGGCCCTGAAGACACCACCTGCTCTTGATGCGGAATGTCGATGAATCACTGTCATCGATGGGTTGATTCTCTTCCATGGGTTTCTTGGTAATAACAAATCGACTACCAATGAAACGATCGGCATGCTTTTCTGCAAGTTCTTTGGCTCTCCTTCCATAATGGACTTTGACAGCTTGTTTATCCAAAATTGTTTGCCATTCGGCCAACTTTGACTCATCCACCATGGCTTGAACTGTGGAAACGTTGTTACTATGGGGGATCTCTTTATTGGTTTTCTTCTGCAAATAATTAACCAACATGACTTCTATGGGCACTTGTGGATCCTCCCATTGGTGACATAGTTCATTGATCTCTTCAACTGACAGAGCCTCATGCACATTCAGGGCTTCAGCCTCACTGATGCGAGCACGTGAGCTGGGTGGTTCAACGGCTGATTCCGGGCTTTCCAGAGGACGCTTTTGAGAATCAGTCTGGGCACCTGCAGGACTAGTGGCATGTTCAAGCAATCGTGGAACCACTTCCTTCATCATTTCGAGAAAATCTTGCTCACGCATTGCTGGAGGCCTGTACAAGGCAGCTGGGCCATTCTTTGATGGAATGCGGCGCATCGGACCATACTGGGACTGAGACTCCTCAGAAGGATCGACACCATTGGAACTGCTAGATGATTGGTGTGTAACCGACTGGAAACTACTAGGTTCAACTGGCTTCTCACTCTGCTCATTGGACAGTCCTCCGGGTTGTACATCAGTTGGTGGAAACTCAGACTCCATTGGGACATCAGACGGTGCTGGAACAGCTACTGATGAGTCACGTGGTTGGCTCCGATCGTCAGGACCAGGAGCCATTGGAGGATAGTGAGCTGGCACCAGATCTATGTACTGATGACTGCGGAACGTTCCACCCTCCAAGAGATCCTTCACTCCTAACAACTCGGCCTGAGGGGTTTCAAGGAGAGCCTTTTCCTCGGTTGTGGCTGGTCTGAGTTGTTCTGGGGCCACTCGGAAGATTTGCCTCCTATGTGCTACAACATAGTTCTTACCCACACTACCAATGACTACGGCAGTTCCATACCAACGTCCTCCTAACCACACTTGACCTTGTTGATACTTTTGGGCACGCCAATAGGCAACGAGATCTCCTGGTTGGAACTGCTGCTGCAGTCGGGGACGAGCTGAAAAGGCACGTCTCAGAGCCGCATCATCTTGCGTCTCGATCACTGCCCTACGGGCTGCTGATCTGATGGCCTGAGACTTTGCTACTGCTTCATCACTCAAACCAAGGGTGGCAGGAACAACATGCAACGGTTCACTCATGAGATCACTAGGAACATCCGGATTGCGGCCAAAAACATACTGATGAGGAGTGTAACCATATGACTGTATCATGGTATTCTTGACATGAGCATGAGTGACACAGTTCTCCCATTCAGCGCGAGAGCTGGGTGCAAATTCAGCCATGGTACGGTCAAGCACGCGGGAAAACCACCCGCCATGATTCTCGGTTCTGCCAAGTTGCCAATGTGCTTCACCTGCAATTTGATGCACGTGAGTGCCAAGACCTTCGAGATACCCTTGCAAACCCTCACCTAGATTAGTCTGAGCTTGATCCAGAATCACTTCTTTGGGGGGACCAAACACTTTTACCCAATGATCGGCGAAGGCACTTCGAATGACTTCGGAGGTTTCACGTTCATGAAATGGCACCATGATTTGATAGCAACTGGCTTGATCAACAATGTTGACAGCTTTAATTTTTTGATTGGGAAGCCATCCATTCAAGTTCTTGACATCAATTCCTACTGACTGATTGAACTCACGAGGACGTGATGACTTGGCAGGCAGAGGCACATGTGGCTTGATCTGTGATTGACAGAAACTGCACTTGTGCTGGTGCACCAGTTTCAAAGCACGGTCGGAAGCCTGAGCATGCTTGAAAATACGAACCATGTCATGTGTTGGAGGATGACCTAGATTTCGGTGCACCTTGTCAATGATCTTGAGGAGATCAGCATCGGATCTTTCGCTGGACATGTCAGGCTTTGCAGCTAAAACTTCGTTCAGCTGATTTGCAGACCATTCTGGGCACACGGCGAGGCACTCTAGTTTCATCTGAGCAAAACGGGGCACGGTGTCCATGACTGCCTCTACAAACTGTGGTGTGTACTTTCCGGCAAACGTACTGATCTGACCAACTTCTGGATCAGATCCGGCAATCACCTGATGGCATGAGTGCTTTGGGTGTTGAGGACCAGGACACTCACGAGCAAGTGTTTTCATGTCTTCGTGGGTGACCAGCAAATTCGTGGCTTTGCGGATTAACTGCTTGCTCTTTGGTATGTGCAAACCATATCGACACATGTGGCACGTCAGCAGGTGATGCTCTTCAATCAGTGCGCGGATTTCGGCATACGACCACAACTTGGATCCTTTCGGATGCTCCATGAGGGCTCTACCTCCTAGCTTGACCTGTTGTTCAAACAAATGACTGCAAAAACGGATGAACAAACGACTTTGTCGCACTTTGCGAGCGTACTCGTGAGGATCCATGGTGCACGCGTTCAAATTGAACCAGCCTCCCTCATGTGTGCACGGTGGGCTGAGCACGAGCAAATCGGGAGGATTCTCACGCAGCTCTTGAGCTACTTGATCCCTTACAGCAGGTTTGGAGAAGTCATAGCCCGTAGACAAGTCATAGGACCGGCAAACACCCTTGACACCTTCTACCAGTGGTGCAAAACGTGGTGGACAAAACACCTCTGCGACCAAAAAGGGTTTACCATCAATCTTGGACTTAACTTCAGACACCGGCTGACGGATCTGGGCATTCAGTTGACGCTGGCAGTGAACGGGCATACACTCAAAAGTGGACGTTTTCTCCTGAGGAACGAACTGAAATTCAGTGGTCACATGCAACACTTCCTTAGGAATAGGGTGATGATACCTACTTTTCTTATGATGTGGGGATATCCATTCATCAAAAAGGACTTCATGAGTTTCACTGTTCAGGACCCTCCTACGTCTAACTGATTGCCAAGCTGGACCTTGCTTACCTGTGGTAACTGTATGGTTCAAAAAGGAATCAGTTCTTGTCCATGTTTGCAAGTCAGAGTCCGGTCCTGCACTCATGTCGGCAGACAACTGTGCTGGGCTGGATAGCTCTGACAGCTTCGAAGGCTCAGTGGTGGCGTTCATCAAAACTTCCTGAAACGGCTGCTTCAAATCACCTACCTGATCGAGCAAATTGATGGCATACTGGCCGGCTGCATTGATGGTCAAAGGGACCGTGATCTGATCTGAGAACAGTGACAGCTCATTTCGACCAAAATTCACAACAGCTTCCAACAATTGCAGTGCATTTCTTGAAATCAACAGTGGGGCGGATCCTTTCACGATGGCTGCTTTGATGCTACCGGATCTGCCTGCAATCACAACTGGAAGCTTCACTGATGAATCTGTGCTTTCACGCTGTCCATTTCCAAACTTGAAATGATTCACCTCAGAAAAGGGAACAGGGACTGGAATGCCCTTAGCACGCCAGAGCTGTTCAAATTCTTTCAAAGTCTCCTGACCTACAATCGTTCGACCACAGCCAGAATCGATCACCCCAAAACCGGGGGAGCTCACCAGCAAAACTTCGGACAGGGGTGTCGAAAACGAAGGTGATGAGGGCGGTGACATCATGGCACGGGCAGCTCGTTTCTGTCGCAAAACTGACAAAGTGTCATACTTCTGGAACCCATCATCCAGTGACACTGCTGCCACAAAATGCTCAGTGAAGTGTTCAACAACCGCTGCACCAGTATCACTAGACTTGGCAGTGCTGCTACCACCTGAACCCTTTGATTTCCCTTTTCCGCCAGATCGGCACTCACGTGACCAGTGGCCGATTTGTTGGCACTTGTGACATCGAGTTTTCTTCTTCAGCTCCTCGATCTCAACTCTGTAGGATTTGCGCAGGTCAGTGGAAGGCCCAAACTTTCGACTGCGCTGCAGCCTACCCAGTTCTTTTCTCTTCTCTTTCCAAGTGACAGCAAGGGCTTCGGCGACTTCACTTTCTTCGAAAACTTCATCAGGCTCATCATGTGCTTGCTCAGCATGGTCAGCAAGCAGAGCTTCCACCTCCTGGATCACTGACTCTGATTCTTCATCTACAGCGACTGCATCATCAGTGGCCTCAATCAGACCGGCGCCAAAGCTGCGTTTCTTTGGCACGATGTAATCTGGGTAACATGACCTCATAGAGCGTCCAATCTCGTCCTGCTTGAGCACGCCTCCACTCCGAGCTAACACAACAGCCTTCTGTTCCTCGTTGAGGCCCGAACGGTTGAGAATCAACCATCCTCGAGCTTCTTCTGGAAAGCTCACTTTGCACTTTCTCTGACAACGATCAAACAGTTCACCAGCTCTTGAAATCCATACCTTCAGTGTTTCACCCTCATTTGCACGTAAACCAAAAACCGCAGTAAGAGTTTCAGACATTTCGTCTGATGTGTCCTTCTGGGGGAAACGACGATCAAGAAGGCCAAGGATGACTTTTTCTCCACCGGCTACCTGATATTCGCAGGGCTCCAGATGTTCAATGCAATCTAAGGCTTTGCCCAGCTTTGTGATAGTGATATCCCTTTGAGCCTTTTTTAGCCTTGAAGTCTGAAGTCAATCGCACAAGTGACATTGTCTAGAGGATATACGGATATACGCGTATGGTAGCACCCCAAAAAAATGGAAAAGTGATTTGTCACTATTTTGGGAGGAATTCACTTTTTTATTTTTTTTGGGTTGCTACAGTATACACTAATTATTAATTCATAGCAACCCATATTTTATGACATGTCACGACATGTCGCGACCACCCTAGATTTGCTCATAGGGCAGTCATGCCGCCGAGGAAATACTGCACCGTGGCAAATGATCCAGCGGAAGGCGAGGTTTTCGGCTGCACAAAGCTAAACTCACAGAATTGGGTGATGGGTGTACAAGAAAACCCTGCAATTACGGTAAAATTCCCGGTGAAGATTTTCCCTTAAACCAATCCATAAAACTAAACTGAATGGTGAACATCTTGGGAGATGTTCAACAACAAAAACGCTGGAAGGCATAAATGAATCTGAATGATGGCTGCTAGCCACATAGCCCAGAGGCGTCTTGCTAAAATTTGGTCAAGTAGGAATCAATCATGGTGGTAGTGGACGTTATGGCTATGATGGTGTGATGCTGATGGCACTCTTGTGTAATCTATAACCTGGCAATGAACAATCAGCCTTTTTCAATGTGACCCTCCGCTAATCCAGGGCAAAAAGTCCTTATAAACTAATTATAGACTACAACATAGGCTTTCACAGTGCCTTTTTGCGGGTTGGCAAAAGGTGGTGCCCCCCACTTATCTAGCTAATTATGCTGCTTTATTAATGCTTATTGCCCATCTCAGCATAGTTATTTCATCACCATACACCCAACAGTTATTCTAGTCTAGTTCTCCTAGATGATTTTTATTTTCCCAGTGGGATATCCACTGGAAATGGGGAATCGATTTTTTGGGATTCCGGATCAGCAACTCCAAGGCAGTTGTCCAAGCAGCTACCCGGGCTGCAGCGCACATTCGGAATGTGCAGCCGATGAGCCGCTAGGAACTTGAGATGGGCTGGGCGCCCGTACTTGGGGGATGCGAGGTTGTGGTTGTGGTTGTGGTTGTGGTTGTGGTTCGGTTGTTGTTGTTGGTTGGTTGGTTGGTTGGTTGGTTGGTTGGTTGGTTGGTTGGTTGGTTGGTTGTTGTTGTTGTCGTTGTCGTTGTCGTTGTCGTTGTCGTCGTCTTGGGGGGTTCACCAAGTGATATGACATGTGACATGTGCTATTTTTTTTGTCGATAACCAGGTTGAAATCAGCAAACATCCAGCCACAACCATCCAAGTCCGCAAGATCCAGCCACAAGAGGGAACGAAGAAGCAAAGATGCGGGGTTCAAGTTTCAACCTGGCAAAGTGGTGGTGATCTCGCAGGTGGCTTCATCCCCAATCTGTGATCCAACTGCGCGGTCCATTCGCAAGGGTTGAAATGCGCACACTGATTGAAATTTCTCATGCTGAGTTCCCAGTCTAAGTTGCTGTTAAAACGTCATATACCAATTTACGGCCAATTATGAGTTTTTCTGGAACTTTGCGACTTCTGTTACAACTTCTGTTCACACGTAATTCTATGGGAAATGAGGTTTTCATCAGCTTTCCGCTGCACTGTGTCCAAAGCTTCTTCATGTTTCAAGGTCAGTTTGTTTTTAGCAATCTCTTCAATGCTGAATAGAACTCGTTTGGAGTTGCAGGTTCCAAAGACTTTCGGAAAACACATCAGAAGACCAGACCAGATATCGCTGGGTCAGGCACTCTGTTGCCTTCCACCCGCCAAAGTGCAGGAACGTTAACACATCCGCCCACCCCTGACCCCATAATTTCATGAAGCAACTTCCAAGACAACGTGCCGTAGCGTAGCATCATCTTCGAGATGCAAGTGCACGGAACGTTAACACACTACGCTTACTACTGTGCATTCCGGGCCTCTCGCGGCTTAGCCAAGTAGCCGAGTAGCCGTAGTCCAGTTAGATCTGCTTGGTTTCCAGTGATTCCACTGGGCTCAGGTATTGCTTCTCCTGCCAACAGTGCGAGGCGCATATCAGCAACAAAGGCCCGAGGGCATGATAACCCCTCACCAGTCCATCAGGCAGCCTCATAGGCAAACATTGCTTCGAAGCCCCAACTCATTTGGCTGCTCTAGAATATTGACCCACACTTTGTGATACTTGAAATATATCGACATATTAAACTTAATTATATATGTTCAATCATGTTTAACAGGAGTATGGCCAAGAACATGTGGCTCCTGTTACGATTCCCGCGTGCCTTCGATTGACTGCCCATTGCCCCTTGCGTCACTTCCGACGGTCCGACCCGGTCCCGCTGGGCGCAGGAGAGAACAGTTCCATTTGGCGATGCGAACCATGCCCTTCTCAGAAGCACAGCTGCAGATTCGGAAAGTCATGGGGGATGCCGAACGCTTCATCGCTGGGTGAATCCACCATTGTGAAGAGCCCAGGGCCCAACACTTTCCAAATTTAGATGGAACCATCCCACCTGTAGATCGTTTTTCTTGAGCAACAGGTATGATGAAACATGGGATGAATTTTGGGGATGGCTATAAGTGATCTAAGAGCAGTGGGATCACCAATTGACTGGTTATTTTTAGTACTGACTCTACCATTTTTGGGGTAGCCAAGTTTGTTAGCAGCTCCAAGTGAGAATTTCTTATCAGCCCCTCATTTCCAGCCATTTCAGATACTGTAAGCTGGTGCTAAACGTAGGAGGGAATGACCCAGTCCATAACTATGAAAACAATCATTTCATTCCTCCCCTACTAAGCAGAAAGTTATTGGGATTACCCTCTGGTAAACTGTCCCATAACTATGGAACATCACCATTTTGAATGGGAAAATCAACTATAAAAAACCTCAGCGAATCCTCGCTGGGCTGGGGTGCATCCCATGGATTTTGGTATCCCTTCCAGTAACTAGTATTGATTTTGCTGAAGAGTTGTTCGATTTTCGGATTTACCTTGTTGAATGGTTGATTATGAGATGTTATATTATATACATACCTTTGAAATACGGTATCTATTCTATTTATCTCTGTCGCATTCTCTCGCTATATAAAATGGGCAGGACATTGCATCATATTGCGTCTAGTTATTCGATTTGTGCATTTATAGATATTTGTAGCAACTTCCAAAAAGATAGAACCGTCATCCTATCAAAACAGTATAAAACAATATAAAACCAGTGATGAATTATGTTCTGGGACTACTCCCGAAGCCAATCGCATGACAGCACCAAGGCGCGAACTGTCGAACTGTGTCCCCCAAGTCACCTGGGGAACCGCCGATTTTTTCCGGCCATCAAATGCTGTCGTTTTAACGATGATCAAACGATGGGGCCATTGTTGGGTTCCTAGGTTTGAGACGACCCTCTGTTTCCATGCCGCGGCCCCATTTTGGCTACCAATTTGTGGCTAAAAAATTTTGTTCTCTCAAGGTGGACATGGGGGTGAATCGCATGGCGCCTTATGCGCCTGGCCTCGTGATGGTCTTCTGGAGACCCAGCTGGAGACCCAGCTGTCGAATCATCACCAGAACCTGAGATTTCACGGCGTGGCATGGGAGATTTTTCTTTCGGAGTGTGAGCCACATTGCCATCATTGTCTCGGACGTTGGTCGTTGGCCTTCTATGCAGAGATCATTGGCTTCCAGCAAATCCAGCGGCCCAACTTTGATCGACATGGTGCTTGGCTCACCATGCCCAATGTGAAACAATGCTCCATCAGGTCGTGATTTGATCGTCTCTCACATTGCCCTGGACACCAATGAGCCACACAAGGTCTTGGAGAAGTTGCTGGAATACGAGGTGCCGTTGCAAAACATTCCATCTGATCCTCGGAAGGGAGAGAACTTGGTGGAAGCTTTTAAGAACAGTGAAGGGAAGATCATTGTGCGTGATCCCGATGGCTACTACTTGGAGCTTTACAACTGCGACGTCCCCACGGCCTTTTGCCTCTTCAAGGAGAATGCACAGGAGAAGAAGCCAGGGTATGTAACGAAGTACAAGAAGCTCATGGATGCCATATGATGCCATGCTCATCCATGCTCAGCACATACAATGAGGAGGTTCCAAGCCACAATCTGAGAGAGCGCTTGGGAGCACTGTGATTTTCGCCACCTCCCAATGTTTTAATTCAGCAGCCTAGATGTGAGATCCGCATCCAGCATGCTGTTCGTTGGCACATCAGGTGACAGGCCAGAGACCATGACCTTTGATCAGTGGTATGAAGAGGACATGCTGACGCGCCTGGAAATGATATGAAAGGATTACACTGATTACTACACTTCACAACATCCCGATACACTTTGCACTGCCAAGGTATAAGGAATCGGTTGGCCCGGTCGTGAAAGATGGTGAGAAAGACACTGACATCGATATCGACGGCCTGGCGGCTGAATCGGCCTACAACTTGACCGAGGGCCTGTTACGACTGAAGACTCGCTTTGCCTTCGGCAATCGTTGGACCATGGAGGGTTGGCACTACATGAAGGACGGCAGCCCCTGGTTTTCAGATAGTTGAACCTTAGGAGCGGGATAGGCAATAACATCATTGGTGCAAATTTGTCCTGTCCCCCTTGTTTGAGAGGCCCTTGGCAGGCGTTTCTTTGATACGTTTCCACATGCCAAACCAGGCATTTGCCCTAATTTGCCCAGCGTTGTCCTTTCGGCGGCAAATCTGCATGATGGGGTGGAGGCACAAGGCACAAGGATTCCATCTCGCATCTGACACCAGAGATATCCTGTTTCATGAAAGTACAGCATCTACAAGTCATTTGTTTGCCGTCAAAAGTAAGTCAAAACACACCAAATCAACAAGGAAAGTCTTGCACGGAGTTTGTGATGGCGGTTTAGTGTTGCAACGGCACCATTGTTGATGATGCTAGCAGCCTAGCACGCCTATTGAAGTCCAACAAGAAACTCTGCAGCACCAATTTCCCGGACCTTTTCTTGGATGCCGAGAGCCGCGAGGGCTTTCATTTCTCGAGCAAGACGCGACCGGTATGCGATTCCACATGGCTTGAGGGTGTCTCTACAAGGCTCTAGTGGCCCGGTATCCGTGGATCTCACCATGGGCAGTGACTACCAGTTTCTTGGATGCCAGTGATGCAGGTGGGCAAGCCGCTGGTTTGTCGGGGGATCATCCGCGGGCTCCACGCGCCACAAAAGCCTTGCATGTTCTGACTTTGTAAACTGTTTGCAGATTGTTTAGTTGGAAGATGCGGTCAGCTTTCTTGGTCTTTATATTCTTAAACATATTTTCATATGTTTTCTGATTATGTCTGAAATCGGAGTATCCCAGAATCCCCCAAGTGCCCATTCATCCATTCGACGTTCGTCAACAGGACAATAAACCATGCGATTCTTGGGGTACCCGATTCTCGGACAAGACTTGACAGGACTACTACCCCATGACTAGAACAGGGATGAACAACCCGCTGAGAATGGTATATGACATGGCTGTGGCTCAAGATTACAGCCCAAAATGGATTGCTTTATACTCAGCATATCCAAAATTATGTTCAACATATGGTTTTTGTGGGTCTTTGAGATTCCAATATCGCTTCTCATTTGCGATTGAAACAATATGCCCTTCACCCCTGTGGGAGGACTCAATTTATTGCTCCTTATCTGATGAACCCATGGAGGTGGTCAAATCTGAGAAATCTTTGGGAATACAGTACTTAAACATACTTAAACTACCGGGGTTTGTACGAAATACGTTAGCCCGGGTTTGGTACAAAGCAGGTTAGTGTGCCTGGCTACGCATTGTATTTTGTAGAGGGGTAGACTTGGGCTGGACAAATTATGGCTTACAAAAAAATGATCCGGGTCCTAAGTCTATATTCCAACGGGGATCTTAAACTAAATAGACACAATTGAGAAATAAATCCAAACAGTTTGGGGTGTAGAAGATGGACCCAGCTTTACCATGCTCATAAGTTTTTCTGTTTACCGATGTTGATAGATGGTCATAGACCCAGAATTCGAGGTCCACGACGTGTCCATTGCGATCTTTGCATCCAAATAGTGAGCAATTCTCCTCAGATTTGGTCGTGGCACGAAGGAGTGCCACAATGGTATTGGTCATCCATCAAGATAGGGATTCAAATGGATTTAACCAACCAACGTGGTGGTATAATGGGATATTCAAGGCAAATGAACTAAAACTGGACAATGTAGCGACCTCACTGTAAATAAGGGGAATTATCCCCAAATGGCCTTACTTTCGCTTGGTGAATTACTTAATTTTATCCCAGGTTCATTGTTTCATTGGGATTGCATCGACAACGATATTTACGGACTCCCCAGGAACCTCCAGAACCATGTCGACATGGCCATGGAAATGGTGTGAAATCACTGCAATGGGCACGACAGAGTATACAAGCAAACGGGGTGATGATTTTCATCCTACCCTCTGGTAAACATACAAAAAGCTATTGAACATGGCCATTTATAGTTGATTTACCCATAAAAGTTATGGTTTTCTATACTTATGTCAGTTTACCAGAGGGTAATTCTGAAAAAACAATTTCAAAGCACAATGGGCAGTTTGCTCCCCCAGATCTCTGGTATATCAAAGACCAGCTGACCGTCTGCAGCAGGAAACCCGTTATTTCAGATTTCCATGGTGGTGTTTGCGGGGGCATGCTGGAAACTGATGCGTGTAGATTACATAGCCATTGTTTGTGGGGTAGTTCAAACCCCAACAACATATCTAGTAGGGGTCCATCACAAAGGGTTTCCGCAGTGTTTTTTTCAGGTGGTTTCAAAGAAAAACAAACGGACCTGCCACTAGGGATGATCTGAATTTGATTCTCATGTTTGCGGGGGTTCAAAAAAGGGGGGCAAAATCATCCACAATTTGTAAATTGAAGAAGGGCAACCAATGGTTTGGGGTACCCTACTGTGAGGAAACACCTATATTTCAAGTTAGTTGAAAGCACCAAGCATTCACGACTTGTTTGAAGAATATTGAAGGGAATTTGAAACAAGAAGCCCTTCTGTTTTTGATGGTAAAAAAAACGTTTGTTTTCTGTTGGTAAACTTTCTGTGAAACGGATCCATTGAAACCAGTTTTGGCAACAGCTGTCGCCAAAAAGCGCACGAGACTGTAGCGAGAGCTCGGTTTTGCTCAAATCAATGCATACAGCCGCAATCTTTGCAATGGACTTTAGGAAGATGAGGCCAAAAAAGCGCACAAAGTGTTGCTGCTCGATTGGCCCAACACATGTTGAACAACTGAGGGCCCGAAGGCAGCGTTGAAAAGTCCGCACCGTGCATGCTGCGACCGCTGCTCTTGATTCGCCTCTGAGGTTTGTTGGCCATGCGCGAAGACGCGGACCAGTCCTTTCGTTCCACTCGTGTCCGACGTGGTGGAAGCGTATCATGCTTGGTTTGCCACAGAGATCTTGATTAAATCAGCTTCGTCAGCCGCATCTGCCGCACCTGCCCGCTGCGAGTAAAAAATGCATCTTCCCAGCACGTGTTTTTCACTAAAACTTCACTCTTTGGTTTGCTGGGAAAGTTTTCCGTAAGAGATGCGTAAGCTAGTTCTTTGAAGTTGTTGTGTCGTAAGCAAAACCTTGGAAAACGTAAGTGAACGTAAGCTCCTACGTAAGCTTTGAGTTCTCGCTCAGGAGATCAAAAGGAATTTTGAACACAGCTCATTTGTGCGTGCCTGAAGATGGGCGATAATTACCCTCAACAATGGCCCTTTGCTCATAGGAAAGCGACGGAGTCTGGTGTCCTATGTTCAGACAAGCACATTTTTAGCGTTTTTGATGGGTAAACAGTTGCATAGTTCCCACTAAAAGTGAAATCACACCAAGGTATGATGAACTGGTGGAAATGGCCTTACTGCTGAACAACGAAACGGATTCACTGGACATCAAGGAGGTACATCTGTCATCTCGTCGCCTGCCCCTACCCCCCATCGAATGTGGAATGCCGACCTTACGGAAGTTTATTCGGCCAACTGACTGGCACCGAGTTGAAACGATGATTGATATTGTTATGGACCTCCGCCGGCGGAGTTGCAGCAACGATATTACTTTCGGCATCCAATGCTCTTGCGACTTCCAGGTGAATCTCGGAGCTACCTTCGGTCCAGACAAACTTCTATCACTTTGGCCCACCAGGATGTCTTAACAGGTGCACCCACACATTTTTGGATGCACCTTTCATCTTTCGACGATACAAGGATCCAGCGACCAAGAGAGCAAGACTTGAAAGGTATTCGTGAAGAGGAACCGGTGGAATATATTATATACTTGGTTGAAATACAGAATATAAGAATTAGTTAGGACATTCAGGACATAGTTTTGCCTGGCTCCGCTTAAAGTGGAGGCAGGTGCGTGACCATGCTCGGTTGAACGTGGAAAAGCTGCGAAGAATTCCGCTACTTACCCCATGGACAAGTGGCATGTGGGGGCGAACAGCCTGGATGGCGCTATGCCCTTTATGCCCCAGATCGAAGCCTGGTGCAGATTGGAAGCCAAAAATATTTGATGCAAAACATGCAAAACATCAATAAAATCCCTGCTTTGACGTCCCAACTGGCTGTACTTCGGGGATGCTGGTTGGAATACTACACCATTACACCCAACTCAATGCTTCCACGGACAGTACGTGACCATTATTCCATGGCAGGGATGAAACTGGTCGTGGAGCCCCAGCTTTCCCAGGAAAGGCGGTTTTTGCTCCAAACTTTGGTGGTGTGCTGAACGCAAGGACAGTATCACAGGCCCGGGAGGTTGAACGGTGCACATACTGGGTATTCGCATGCAACCATGTGGGGTATGGATACAAGACATAATGCGTGGAAAAGCCACGACTTAGTAGTCAATTAAGAGTGGGTTTCAGTTAGTTTTGATATGTTCCAATCGTTTTTGACCATTTTTCGGGATAAAATGCAGCTATCCAATTTTGGGTAAACGATTCAGACCATCAAAGGTAGAAAGAAAACCCATGTGACTGGGATACACACAAACTGAATCACAGCCATGGATCATCTTCATCAAACCTTGTTTTCATCATGACTTGCCGCGTGGGATTTCCGAACTCTGTTGGCGAAGATGGCTGGGGTATACTGTGTTTCCGGAGAAACCCAAATATCATCGTGTTGCCTGCAACTTAACATAGTACCGCACAAGGCGGTGGCGGAAGTTTCAAAGATAGGAGACCTATAATCCTATACTATAGGAGAGGTGAGTTGTTGTGATGCATGGATGGCAGAGCAAACCCACTGGTGGACCAAAAGGTCTGACTCTCACTCTCACTCTCTCTACCTCTCTACCTCTCTATCTCTCTACCTCTCTATCTCTCTAACTCCCTATCTCTCTATCTCTGTATCTCTCTCTCTCTCTCTCTCTTCTCTCTCTTCTCTCTCCTTCTCTCTGCTTCTCTCTCTCTCTCTATATCTATCTTTATCTATCTTTACCTCCCTCTCCCTCTCCCTCTCCCTCTCCCTCTCTATTTATCTATCTGTTACCTATCTATCAATCTATGTTTCTTTCTATCTATCTATTATCTATCGATCTACAATATCGATCTATGGATCCATCGATCTGTGGATCTATGAACCTATGGTTCTATCGATCTACCGATCGATCTTTCTATCTATCTGTCTATGTGTCTATCTGTCTAGCTATCTTTTTCTTTCTTCCTATCCTATCCTATCCTATCCTATCCTATCCTATCCTATCTATCTGTCTATCTGTCTACCTGCCTATCTATTATATCTATCTATCCATCCATCCATCTATCCATTTATGCATCTAGCCATCTAGCCATCTTTCCATCAATCCATCTATCTACCCATCCGTCCATCTATCTATTTACCTGCCCCTCTGACTATCGATCTAGTTCTTTATCCGTTTATCTGCCTCTCAGCCAATCTCTCCCAACCTCTGTCTCTCTATCTGTCTCTATCTTTCTTGTTCTCTGTCTCTCTATCTCTCTTTTTTCTGTCTTTCTGCCTCGCCCTACCACGCTCTATATCGCTCTATCTCTATCTCTCTCTCTCTCTCTCTCTCTCCTCTCTCTCCTACCACTATCACTCCATGTCATTATTTACACTACACCACGCTACAGATACAACTGCGCCTCTAACTACAGCTGCAGCTACAACAACAACTACTACTAAACACTACGCTACACCAACACTACAGCTTTAACTACAGCTACACTACAACCACACAACTACAACTGCAACTGCAACAGCACGTACAACAACAACAACAACAACACCAGCAACTACTACTACTACTACCACCACCACCACTACTACAACTACAACTACAACTACAGTACACCACACTACATCCAGCAGTTGTGGATGAGGTGACCACTGCAACCATTCCAAAAAGCACAACTCCCACCACCTTTAAGTCCATCACTGGATTCGCCGTGCCATCCATGCATCACAACAACTCACCTCTCCTATAGTTTCCTATCTTCAATACTTCCGCTATCGCCTTGTGCTATTGAACTCGATTTTCCAACTTTCAAGTATGTATTATTTAGGTAAAAAACTGGACATTTGGGTCGTGTTTTCAAACCCGTTTTAATTTCGACACCGAGTCCCCAATGGCAGCCAATGATGATTGGCCCGGAAATCCTTTGTTGAAACCAGCTCCGTTCCCGGCCTGGATTTGCTGAGTCGATGATGTTCTTTTCCTTATGGGAAGTCCACTAGAAATGGGGCATTGATTATTGGCCAGTCCTATTCATGTTTGACCCTAAACCTTCACCAGCTGCCAGCAGCACAATATTGGATAGCCACCTATAATATGGGATAGAATAACATATAATAATATATGAATATTTTTTTTGGGGAGGGTTTCCGGCTCAGCAAATCCACGCCGGGCCATGGCGAATTGCTTCGCTTAGCGAGGCAGTTGTCCATCTTTACCCGGCTGCAGCCAGCATTCGGAGTGCAAGGAGGGAGTGCCCGGGCGATTTCAAGACTGAGATGGGGATATATCCCCAACAGTATGGTTCTTATATATAAATATGCATATCCACATTATGGGTGTATCACATATTTACATGTGTATCATTTATTTATTAATTATTGAATGTAGATCATACATGCATAAACAGATATGTGCTTATACATATTTATAAATATATACATATTTATAAGTATATACATATTTATAAATATATACATATATACATATTTGTGCATATATATATATATGTACATATACGCATGTATATATACGCATATATACAAATATTCATGAAATTCATGTATTATTACAGATATACATATTTACAAATACCCAATATACAAATATCAACATATATACAGATGTAAATATACAACTATAAAATTTTCATACACATACACACATATGTGTTCAGTACGTGAGACGGTGCTAGCGTAGCATGCCGTCATAGAAGAAAGACGATCATCTAGAGACAGACGCCAAGAACGTTATTACACCCCCCACCCCACCAAACCCATTTCACAAGAGTATGTGCAGAGACGTTCACAGACGTGTGCTAGCGTAGCATCCAATGCGTGCCAGCAAGTACGTGAGACGGTGCTAGCGTAGCATGCCGTCATAGAAGAAAGACGATCATCAAGAGGCAGACGCCAAGAACGTTATTACACCCCCCCCAACCCCCCCCATATGAGAAACCTCAAAAACCTGCATTTTACTAGTACGGTTTTCGGCGCGTAGGCATATACATGTATACGTATATACGGACATACATACATACATACATACATACATACATTTGTATATATATATATATGTACATATCTACATATTTATAGATTTATGTATATACATATGTACACATATACATATATGCATATATACACATATACAAATATACAAATATACGTATATACGTATATACGTATAAATACGTATATATATATATATTTATTACATTTAAATACACACATACATGTATACATATACACATATACACACATATGTATATATATATATATACATATACACCCACATGTATATATATATTCACACCGATGCATGCACATACAATATACATGTCGTGGTTCAGTGCCAAAACCAAATTGGGATGATGATTTGAAACAACATTTCTTGACCTGCATATTTTGTGACGGCTCGACTGCTTAGCTGAATTGTAGGTTGTTTTTGTGCAAAACACGGGGATGCATGCCATTTAGGAGGAAACGCGAGTTCATGGCCAATCTCGCAGCAAGTGATTTGCAAGATAATCAATCATGGGGGAACCAAGGGGAACCATCAATTAGGGATCAGAAACGGCCTGATGTCAGGCTTGTGATTAATTGCAATGTGTCCAGATTGTTGAGGTTAGCCCATTGCGGGACCCGCACAGATCTCACTTGCTTTGTCAATTGGTTGGCGGTAACCTTCCAGACACCATGTTTGCTGCTAAGACTAAGGACTATTGCGAGAGTTGTGATCTTTGCTTGCAGTTCCAAGCAAGTGCCCCTGACATGTTACAGGACTCCAGGCAGTGTCAGTTTTTGCGGGGATGGATCATAAATTCTTGGGGACCCAAAACCAGAGAATCTGGGAGAATCAGGACCTTGCATCGTAAGGTCCATGTGGTTTCACAGATTTCCAATGATTTCCAGACAATACCCCTAACATCCCCAAACCATGGGTTGGAAAAAAAACTGGTTGATTCAAGTTCGGTTGATTTCAGGGTGCGAAATACACCTCCAAATCGCCAGATTTCGAGGCCCTTCAGTACTGACAGCGACCTCAGCTGTTTTTTCCAGGTTTGCCAGTCGCTAACCATCAGACAATACGTATCTATACGTACCATCCGGCTATTCAACATATGGAACATCACAATTCATTTTTAAGGGTAAATCAATGTAAATCATCCTTTTTTTATCATCCATAAATGGGCCATGGTTTCCATAGCTTTGTTAAATAACCAGAGGGTACTGTACGATAGACCCTCCAATTTTTCGAGCACGGCAATGGAAAATCCCCATTTGGACTCGTAAAATCATGCAAGAATCCAAAGGATTTTCGATTGCCCAGGTAATTACATTTCCGATGCTCAAGGGTACCGCAACTACCCTGTCGGAATGTGGCAAAACCACGAGAATTATCATCCCTAGTTTCACCAAATATGGTTGTCGTATTTCAATGTATTTCAACTATTTCAACCATCCCAATAATTGGGCCTGATATTTGAAGGTGTCCTAAAAATGCGGCTACCCCCAAATCATCCATTTTGATAGGATTTTCCATGAAATAAACTACCAGCTATTTGGGGTACCCCCATGTAAGGAAACCCCCACAAAAAGGATGAGAAAATCATCTAAAATCCATGGATCAGATCCTATAGTCCCCAACACGGACAGGTTTGCCGGAACATCAACGTGCCAACTGGCCCTGTGAGCCCTGCCCCACAGCAGGAGGCCAGGGTCGACCGGTTGTATAGATCTACCGGGAAAATGCCATAAACTTTCTCGATTCACGTCCAATTGTGATAGATTTAAAATTTGAAGTCAATTAGCGTTGATATTCAAACAAATTATAGATCAATTTAGCATAATTTAGCCAAGTAGAGGGCATCATATATAGCTACTAGGCCAATTTCGAACCTGAGATCGTTTTTGCTGGATCTCGCCGTTGGCGCAGTGGGATTATGGATCCTTGATTCACCATGGGTTTGTTGAAGCTGATTTTTGATTTTAAATCCACCATGACTTGGGGAATCTTTTTTGTGAATATTTTTGAGTTTTGGGGGACACCTTTTTTGCAAATCCAAGACATCATCTAAGACACCTTTCAAAACATGAGAATTACGGTACTTTAAGATGTATTTTAAGTTGCTGTGCCATGCGGACCAACAATGTTTGGATCTTGTAAAGGATCACCTGACGCAGGTGGCATTTGTGAACCGGCGAGGCTATGCCAACTGGTCCCTTGGAGTGAAAGAGTGGACGGTTGAGATATGTTGACATCACATGACATCACATTTTTACAGGATGGATCCGTATATTCAACAGACCAACCCCGGTGTGAAATGTGGACTCACAGCGTAAGCAGCCCTGGCGACAAGCCGAGGCCAATGATGGCATCGATCGGACGTGCCCACCAGAGAAGGGGTGCAATGCACATGTACAGTGTCTTCCGGACGAGTACCTTGGCCTGGGTAGATCCAAATATTGCTCGAAAATTGGAACGGAAAGCCCCCTTGATTCATCATGTTTGATCATTTTGCCCATTTGCAACAGCCATGCAGTTGCAGTTGGGGTATATCTCCTGTTTTGAGACAAAACCAAACTTTTTGTGAACACCTCATGGGTGACATCTTCCGGATGCGTGGTGGTATGTCAGGGACCACACGTGCAAGTCACAAAGGGCCTAGAGTGCCTATATTGGATTTCCAGTCTTCGCGTTCATGCGACCGGTGGGAGCTTGTTGATTCGGTCAGGGACCTTCGCCCCAGGTATTGCATGGACTGCGACAAGTGTGCCGCATATCGTGACAGCTTACCTGCTGCACAACAAGCCTATTGGCCCTGCGGCTACTGCCCAACAGGTTGCTCCGGGCGGCTGCTTTGCAGAATCTTTGAACAGCTATCCAGTGGTTAGGGGATGTTAGGGGCATCCATATTCCTTCTTAAATGTGGAGCCAAGGAGCCGTTTCTCACCCACATGATAGACAGGGTCTTTAGGGAAATGTCCTGGCTCGCCAATTTTGTCAGTTTTTAAACCTAGTGTTGCCATACTGATTTGTACTGTTGTTGTCAAAAGAGTTGCGGTGCGTACTTGTTCAACACGTATTCTTTCGTGTGGAGACGGGGGTTCCTAAAGTGATTCCTCAGTTCCCAGATATACCGTCATACCCTCCTATTTATTGGATTTGTTTGGCTTAATGATTCATCATCGTTGGTTGATCTCAGTAATTTTGTTGATGTCCTTGTGCTATCCCTGGAGCTTGCCGCAAGATGGGTCGAGAGCATCAACTGTTTGGTGGTTGACTCCGCACATTTTCGTCAATTTCTCGAATTTTCCTAATATCATGTAGTCATGGATGACCATTCGTATTGCAACATCTTGCAACCAGTTGTGTAGTCCTTGCCAGGCTAGATTGACAGATGGATTACTGGATGGAATTTTCACGGAGTATCCAGACCATTCCAGACCATTCCAGAACCAAAGGTCTTGAGGGTTGTGTTTCACTACCGAAAATATGCCTTACCAGTCGTGTATCTGCAGGATTGCCCACCATCGCGGGTTGCCAGGCCGCGGGGGGCATTGCGAACGTCGTGTCTTTTGCTCGGTGGCGGAAGATGGGGTGAGTCACTGGGCCTCGATGGTGAGTGGTGAATCCTGGAGGTTGGGTCAATCTGGGTTTTTTGATTCCCAACATGAACATGGGTCATGACTGATGTCCCCATTGAACATCACCCAACCATTGGGTATATGGTCAATGCCATGGCTACTTTTTCAGGTGATGTCCAATATTCCCAAAATGGGACAGTTACCAACCCCAACATGAAGTCTTTGGTTGACTGCTTAGTTGTGTTTTCTTAAGCTATAGTTTTCCAGTTCAGTTTCTCGGCTGCAAAGCTCCACTGTTTTTGTTGACTCTGCGGGATATTCAATGTTGGCTATGGAGGGCTATGGAACCCCGAAGGCCACCGTGAATTTTGTGACCTGTTGTCCGTCCTGGGTGTGGTGGTTCCTTCAGCTATGGCTTGACAACAGATCTATTCAATCTCTTTTCTTCTGTCTCCTTCCCTTCATTTCCTTCCTTTCTCTTCTTGCTTCTCCTTATTCCTTTTCCTTTTTGCCTTTTTCTCCCTTATTGTGTTAACTGTTACCTTCTTCTTTCTTGTGATCCTTCCCTGCCTTTAGTCATCCCTTTATGGGCATAGGACCTTTTGATCTGTGGCCTTGGAACTTCCACTGGGTGTCAGATCCCAATTTTCCAACGGATTTTCTGTTGGCAACTTCCAGGAACCCCCCAAAAATAGAGAATAAGATCATCTCAACATTTATCAATGGCTGGTTGCTGGTTTCAAACATGGCTTCCATGATTTTCCATTTCACATATGGGATGTCATCCTTCCCATTGACGAACTCCATGATTTTTCAAGATTTTTCAAGATGGGTAAAACCACCAACCAGATGGTAATGGCATCCAATACTGTTGGGAACTTTTTTTTCTCTGCATGTCTCTCCCGCAGACCCCGGTCATGGCATCCAATTGCGTCTGAGGCGAATGTCCTTTGTACGAAGGAGATGGCCCTGTTTCTCGCGGTGAAGGGAAAAACTCTTCGTGGGTTTTGCACTCTACACAAAATGACAAAACCACGGTAAACAATGAATTTTTGGAGTCTACATGGGTCTACACTTTCTGGCTTAGTAAGATTTTCATAACTGCAACAGAACATTGCATCACATTCTGTTCTAAAAAGTGACCCCGGAATGGAGCGGTCACCCACCATGAACTGATTGTATCCTCAGAATTGGTTTTCAAGCAAAGTGAATCTAAAGTGAATGGTTTCGCAAGTCAGAGGCCCTTGTTTGGTACCCACAAGACCTATCGCAAGGTGTCCAAAAAGCTGCCCATTCTTTGCCAGGTCCGTGCAGCCTTAAAAAAAATGGTCTCAAGATTTGAATTGGTTTGAGTAAAACATCCCCAATTCAAAGAGAATCATGGAGATTGAAAGGTTCCTGTTTGTCTGGAACCCCACAGCTTCAGAGAATTACATTATTTGGGAGTAGATTTGAGGGTTGAAAACCGTTATCAGAGTTATCACCCCAGTCTGGCATTTTCTTCATTATAGCCATCGATATGGCCATGAAATCATCGGCTGATTTAAAAAAAACAACCCTGAGATGGACTGACTTTTGCTAGCTTTTTGGGACAACGCCCTAGCCATCGCCCTAGCCACATGGTCCAAACCATGGTCCGGCCCCCCTTTTTTCTCTCTGCGCAGGATGCTTCAAACACCAGGACTGCAAGCAGGGCGAGTTCTGCTGGAGTTGGAAAGCCTGTCAGGAGGAGGATGTCCGGAAGACGGGCCACTGGCCTGGAGTTGGACTGTTGGTAGCCTCTGGTGTTTTCAGCTGGCAATTTGGGATATCTCATTCATTTATGGTCATTTAATGTATATATATTATACACACATGAAATATATATATATATTATACACACATGAAATATATATATATATATATATATATTAAATAGGTATATTATTTCATATATGTTATAATTTTCTCCATTATTAATTGTATTACTTTTTATGCAATCATATTATATTCTTAAATTAATGAATTTTGCGATTAGATCTCATAGCTTTCAGTTGCCAGGTTAAAATTCCATGGCAAGGGGGTTGTGAGTGACTGCGGTGTAGAAACCAGCTATGAGGGAGGAATGAACCGGGGATGATGGTGCCAGTTGACTTTAATATATATATATATGTTGGGATCTATGGCGCAAACATCCCATACTTTCTTTAAGATCTTTAAGGGACTATTTGCAGAGTTTACTTGCCCTACATTATATAACCCGAGGCAAACAAAAACAGGCTTCCTCGAACATTGTCCCTTCAATTGACCCATAGACACCATAAAACACCAGGTTTCGTTGAGGTTGGTCCTCTGGTGGGCTCTGCCCGTGTGCCCGTGTGCCCGTGGATCGGGGTTGTGCCCGTGTGCCCGTGTGCCCGTGGATCGGGGTTGTGCCCGTGTGCCTGTGTGCCCGTGGATCGGGTTGTGCCCGGGTGCCCGTGTGCCCGGGCCAGCGACAGGTCCAGAAGTCCAGAAGTGACTCGTTTGCAGGCAGTTGCAGTCTGTCTTTTGGTTCCCCAAACAGTCCGTCCACAGTGAGGGGTTCTTACGGTAGGTGTAAAGGCAGGTGCCTGATCTGGGTGCTCCTCACTCTGGTCTGCAGCTTGTTACCTGTAAATTTCCGTATGGTGCGGCTCTTGTGACATGTTGAAGTGCATTTCGGCTGCGCAGGCTCGCACAAAGTGTATGTCTGCGTTCTGGCCTTATCGGTCTTCCTCCTCAACATCCTCCTCCTCAACATCAACATCTTCCTACTCAACATCAACATTATCATTTTCCTCTCCCTTGACACCAACTTCAATCGACTCCGCAGTACACAGCGGATGTTCCAGCTAGGAATGTTTGATTGGTAATTAAAACTTCCCAACTGGCATGTCACGACGATGTCCTAGGACTGATATGTGTCCGTGTGCCCGTCTATCTATGTATTGATCTCTCTTTCTCCCTCTTTCTCTCTCTCTCTCTCTTTCTCTCTCTCTCTCTCTCTTTCTCTCTCTCTCTCTATCTGTATCTCCGTCTCCCTTGCTACTTATTGATTTATCCTTTTGCCTATGCATCTATATGTCTGTGTGTCTGTCTTTCTATCTATCTACCTATCTACCTATCTACCTATCTACCTATCTACCTATCTGTCTGTCTGTCTGTCTGTCTGTCTGTCTGTCTGTCTGTCTGTGTGTCAACTGGTTGCCGCAGCGTGATGCCATGGCAGCATGAGCTCGTTGCCCGTCGTTGTAGACCTTGGTGTTTGTTTGACGTTCCTTCTTGTTGCATGACCATGTGGTTGCCTTGTTGTTTGCATGCAACTTTGTTCCGCTGTGCTGTGATGCCTTGATCTAATATTAATGTCGACATGCGGCGTTTCGGCGCTGTCTGCTGTAGATGGCATGTCGCTGTCCTCGCCGTGTTGTTTGCGTGCAGCTTAATGTCGTTGTTTTGCCTTGATCTTAAGTTAATTTCCACATGTGTCGTTTTGGCTCCGTCTACCGTAGATTCCTCCTCTCCCTTTCTATATATCCATTTATCCTTTTGCCTATGTATCTATATGTCTGCGTGTCTGTCTTTCTATCTATCTACCTATCTATCTATCTGTTTGTCTGTCTGTGTGTCAACCGGTTGCCGCAACATGACGTCATAGCAGCATTGTGAGCGCGTTGCCCGCCGTTGTAGACCTTGGTGTTTGTTTGACGTTCCTTCCTGTTGCATGACCATGTGGTTGCCTTGTTGTTTGCACAGTGTTTGCATGCAACCTTGTTCCGCTGTGCTGTGATGCCTTGATCTTATGTTAATTTCGACATGTGGCTTTTCGGTGCTGTCTGTAGTAGATGGCATGTCGCTGTCCTTGCCGTGTTGTTTGCGTGCAGCTTAATGTCGTTGTTTTGCCTTGATCTTAAGTTAATTTCCACATGTGTCGTTTTGGCTCCGTCTACCGTAGATTCCTCCTCTCCCTTTCTACTAATCGATTTTTCCTTTTGCCTATGTATCTATATGTCTGTGTGTCAACCGGTTGCCGCAGCGTGATGTCATAGCAGCATGAGCTCGTTGCCCGTCGTTGTAGACCTTGGTGTTTGTTTGACGTTCCTTCTTGTTGCATGACCATGTGGTTGCCTTGTTGTTTGCATGCAACTTTGTTCCGCTGTGCTGTGATGCCTTGATCTAATATTAATGTCGACATGCGGCGTTTCGGCGCTGTCTGCTGTAGATGGCATGTCGCTGTCCTCGCCGTGTTGTTTGCGTGCAGCTTAATGTCGTTGTTTTGCCTTGATCTTAAGTTAATTTCCACATGTGTCGTTTTGGCCCGGTCTACCATAGATTCCTCGTCTCCCTTTCTACTTTTGGATTTATCCTTTTGCCTATGTATCTATCTATCTATCTATCTAAACTAATCTTATCTAATCCAATCTAATCGAATCTAATCTATCCTATCCTGTCCTGTCCTATCCTATCCTATTCTATCGTATCCTTTCCTATCCTATCCTATCTATCTTATCTATCTTATCTATCTTATCTACCTTATCTTATCTTATCTTATCTTATCTATCTTATCTATCTTATCTATCTTATCTTTCTTATCTTTCTTATCTACCTTATCTACCTTATCTACCTTATCTATCTTATCTATCTTATCTTTCTTATCTTTCTTATCTATCTTATCTTTCTTATCTATCTTATCTATCTTATCTATCTTATCTATCTTATCTATCCTATCTATCTCATCTATCTTATCTATCTTATCTATCTTATCTATCTTATCTATCTTATATATCTTATCTATCTTATCTATCTTATCTATCGTATCTATCGTATCTATCTTATCTATCTTATCTATCGTATCTATCTTTTCCATCTATCCATCTATCCATCGATCCATCTATCCATCTATCCATCTACCTATCTACCTATCTACCTATCTACCTATCTACCTATCTATCTATCTATCCATCTATCTATCTATCTATCTGATCTTACCTTACCTTATCTTATCTTATCTTTTGTATCTTATCCATCGTATCTATCGTATCTTTCTTATCCATCTTATCTTTCTTATCTTTCTTATCTACCTTATCTACCTTATCTACCTTATCTATCTTATCTATCTTATCTATCTTATCTATCTAATCTATCTAATCTATCTAATCTATCTTATCTTTCTTATCTATCTTATCTATCTTATCTATCTTATCTATCTTATCTATCTTATCTATCTTATCTATCTTATCTATCTTATCTATCTTATCTATCGTATCTTTCTAATCTATCTTATCTATCTTATCTACCTTATCTATCTATATCTATATCTATCTTATCTATCTTCTATCTATATCTATCTTATCTATCTTATCTATTTTATCTTTCTTATCTATCTTATCTTTCTTATCTATCTTATCTTTCTTATCGATCTTATCTATCTTATCCATCTTATCTATCTAATCTATCTAATCTATCTAATCTTTCTAATCTATCTAATCTATCTATCTTGCCCGGGTGCCCGGGTGCCGGTCGATTGCCCGTGTGCCCGTGTGCCCGTGTGCCCGTGGATTGCTGGTGTGCCCGTGTGCCCGTGTGCCCGTGGATTCCTGGTGTGCCCGTGTGCCCGTGTGCCCGTGGATTCCTGGTGTGCCCGTGTGCCCGTGTGCCCGTGGATTCCTCGTGTGCCCGTGTGCCCGTGTGCCCGGAGGCCCGTGAGGAGACCTATCTCGTTTCGTTTACCCTCCGGTGTCCTCAAACATGGCAATGTGGAAAATCCACTGTTGGTTCGAGGATTTCTCATATATTCCCATCAAAACCTCCATTTGCAGGTTTCCTAAAATGGGCTACCCCTAAATCATCCATTTATAGATAGGATTTTCCATGAAATAAATCATCAATTTTTGGGTACTCCCATGACTATGGAAAGCTCCATTTGTGGGTCGTACTTCGTACTCCCAGGCAATTGTGGCGAGAAGCCACGTAAGGAGAGGGGTGGAGATGGGCATGGTTTGAATGTTTAAACCATGGGTAAACGATGGTAAATCATGGCATATATATTTTAAATAGTGGCAACGGGTTAATGTTTATAGTGGTTCGTTTTTCTTTTTTCACTTCTTTTTTAAACGTTGGTTTATAGGAAAAATAACCTCTAGAATCACTAAATGGGGATAAATAAATGATGATTTGTTGATAGAACTGGTGGATTTTTTGTTGAGTTTCCAAACTTTTATTTACACAGGTGCAGTTTGAATATGTTTGACTGATCTCTGCGCATATTCCATCCTGCTGACAGGCAAGATTTATCATTGATGATACTCTGAAAGTGATTCAATTGAAGTCTTTGGTTTCCATTTCCCCACTATATCATTTGATATTATTTATATATAATATATATATATACAACTGCTTAATAATCATCCCCATCCTTCATGGTTTATCCCTATTGTTCTCGTCATGGGCATCAAGAGGGGCAAAAAAAAGATGTGACTTGAATCTCCGAACGCTGGGTGTTCAGTGTCAACTTTTTCTGGCAGTTTTTTTGATCTATGAGAAACGTGGCCCCAAAAAACCGTCACCTCAGACCACTACACAAAGTAAGATTTTGCCAATTTTGGCCACACCGTTCATCCCTCTGGATCATCGCCCAGAAAGCATCCCCTGCAAAATGCCAGTTTCCCTTCCTGATCCCGAACCGTAATTCGTTTCACACAAATCATATAAATCAAAGGGAAAGATGGGAAAGTCCAGCCACAAGGGGCGAGGGAAATATTGGTCGCCCCCTTGTAGCTGAGCTTACTCATCGCTGCACCAGACTCCAGGACGGCTTCTGTAACCCGATCTCGACCTGCAACACGCGCCGGTCCATTGATGGGACTTGCCGAGGGGCCAAGGCATGCAATAGCCTCTTGGCATTTGACGGTGGTGACTGGGCAACATGACTGGCACAATGGCACCATTATTGCTACCTCACATGAAGGCCTGAAATTTCTTTTGCTGCTTCCACCTTTAAACATCGTTGGTGTCCACTCTTTCAGCCTCTGATTTTTTTCATCCTCACCTTTTTTTTGGGGGGTTATCAATGGGTAGAACCCACTTGGAACTCAGAACTTGTGAGATGACCACGATCTTCCGGCCACTTGTTCAGTTGACACCCAAGAGGGCCAAGAGGGTGGTTTTTCTCCAGGCTTTCTAGCCTTGATAGCTTCACCCTCAAGAAATTTGCTAACTTCTCAGAGGATTAAGCTCCAATCCCATCCCCTCTGTTGATTCATATTTCAATCCATTAGTTCCACCCCCCGCTGATCCAAGTGGAAGCCATGGGCTTTTCTATGTTTTTCTTATCCGAAAGGAAAAAAACTTCCCATCTTTGGCACTCCCGAAGCCCTGGTGAAACCAGGTCACTACGAATGCGGTGCGGGGCTCTTCTGTGTCTCATGGACCGCCTGCCAGCAGCGTTCGCCCGAGATCTGTGGACCGCAACCTGCGCACCGAGCCTCGGTGGATGACCCAAAGCCATGGTGCCATGGTGCCATGGTGCCATGGTGCCATGGTCATGGCAAAGCCATAGGAACCACCATGGCTGGGTGATATAAACATGAATAAAGGCCCATTTAATAGGTGTATACCTAGTAATACCAAGCCAGGGTCATTTTGATGGTGTATAAACATTAGTATAAAGCCATGCCCAATTTTACCATGGGTGGTATAAACATGTATACACCATCAAAATGGGTGATTGTTTGTTGCTTAACCAACATGATACCCATTTTGATATCATGCAACCAGATAATGACACTCGTATTCCGTTGATAGATCTAAATGCCCATTGAATATACAAGTTGGAGATAATGAATCTAATATTCCATGAATCATTTGGATAATGGGAGCGGAGAAACTATACAATTCTTGGAGTGTTAATGGATACCCCAATTTGCAACAATTTATATAAGATGTTTCCATGTTTATCCCAGAAAATATCACCATTTATAGTTATAGAGGATTGAGCCCTTTGCCAGATGGCATCAACCCGTACAGTAGTAATAACCCATATAAGCAGTGTTCAAAACCCTGTTGACTGATGATGATATGGGGGCTGGGGTTGTACTATCCTGTCTATATTGGGGAATATCAGAATCCATGAACTGGGAAATCCGTTCTTTACCAGCCAGTACAAAGGGACGACATTTCGGGTTTTGAACACTGCTCATGTCGGTTTTGACCTCAGTATCAATTAGGAAATTATATGTAAGTTCAATTAAATTTTAAGCATCCAACTGTAGATATATTCACGAAACATGAAGTATACTTACTTAATCAGTATTAGCAGGTTCATGAAACAGTTTCATAACTGTAGATATATTCATGACTGTATTGTCATGAATCATCCTAGCCCATGCTTCGCTATGTTACCATGTGATTACCATAGTTATACCCACCAATTGCCATCGTTGTGCTCTTAATTATTCCACAGTATAAGTTGTACCATAGTTTATACCATAGTTCATACCAGTGTTTCTACAATCGTTTATACCATAGCTAAACCATAGTTTATACCAAAGTTAGTCCATAGTTTTACCGTAGTTATGCCATAGTTATACCATAGTTTATACGATAGTTATACCATAGCCTATACCATAGTTATACCATACTTACTGTACACCATAGTTATACTATAGTTATACCATAGTTTATACCATACTCAAACCATAGTTTATACCATAGTTATACCATAGCTAAACCATAGTAATACCATAGTTTATACCATAGTTAAACCATGGCTTATACCATAGTTATACCATAGTTATACCATAGTTTTTACCATACTTAGACCATATTTTTTTGTACCATAGTTATACCATAGTTAAACCATAGTGATACCATAGTTTATACCTTAGCTAGTCCATGGCTTATACCATAGTTTTTACCATAGTTATATAAACCATAGTTTATACCATACTTAGACCATAGTTTATACCATAGTTGATACCGTTGTTTCTACAATCATTTATACCATAGTTATACCATAGTTTATACCATAGTTATACCATAGTTTATAGTATAATTTTACCATAGTTAATAAACTATCACAGTTTAAATCATAGTTTGGGTATACCATAACTATAAGAGTTTTATCATAGTTTATATCATAGTCTATAATAGTTACCATAGCTATAATTTTAACTGATGTACCTTACCTGAGGCGCTGGGGTCTGCCTCCCAGCCGAGCACTGCGTGCATGGCTTCCACCCACCGCTGGGGGGCGAGTGTCCCGTGTGGGCGGCGCAGAACGGCACAGCAGGCGGGGGATGAGCATAGATTTTCCCATTCAACAAAGGGGGTTCACTATGGTTTAATAATAAACTATGGTTATACCAAAGTTATTCCATAGTTATACCATAGTTTTACCATTTTTCCTTAAATCCATTGATGATAGGACTAGTCAACATTAATCATTAATAATAATGTAGGGCTTACCCATTTTTTTAAAAATAACATTAGCAATAATTATTATTAACCATAGGAATAGTTAACCATTGTTAGTTAACATATTTATTAACATTAATCATTATTATTAGTTAACCATTATTATTCACATTAATTGTTACTTACCATAGGAATAGTTAGCTAATCACCATAGGAATAGTTAGGAATAGTTAACTTTAATAATGGTTAATAATGTTATTAGTTTATAGGACTGGTTAACATTAACCGTTATTAATCATGACACTAGTTAGGAATTAACCATTAGCCATTGTTAAACACTTTGAATTAATCTAGGAATTAACCATTTTACATACTAACAATAGTTAACAATTAATATTACAACTGTTATCAACATTAATGTAGGAATGAGCAATTACTAACAACATAATAGGACTTGTAAATGTATAAGTTATAATGGGAGATACAACACTTAGTCATGATAATTAGTAATCATACCATACAACGCTAGCAATATTTATTTGAATCTTAGATTGCTACTACTACTACCATAGATGGGCGATGAAATCAAACCCTTGCTGTATGGTTGCCCCCCCGCATCCCCAAGTTTTAATGTTGTCTTTGGGCTGCGCGCTTGGGTGCTGTGGACAAAAGAAAAAATCCCTGAACGCAGAGGAAGCTATATAGACTTTTGTTCAACATTGAAATTTGAGTGTGGGGTTTTACTTGGTAGATGTCTGTAGGGTTTGATTTTTTGGTCCATCTAGTGTAGTTAAAATGTATATTTAGCATTACAGAGGATGTGGGAACCCCATTCACAGTTATTAACATCAACATATAGGTAATTATATAACCATACTAACTTATGGTAAGTTAATAATGGGATTAGATAATGTTACTAATAATGATAGAATATGATATAATACTAGTCATCAATGAAATAGGATAATTAATCAGTAAACATATAAAATTCTTATTATGAAGGATACCATAATTAGTACGAGCAATAGTTATAGTAACAATAGTAGGAATCGTAATAAGTAACAGTTAGAATATATAATTAGTAACTGTACTAGTAGTATTCCATTATTGGAATCCCATCCATTAGTATCCCATTGGCTCTATGGTTGATAAGGTTTTGATATACTTAATGTTAACATATATACTATATTATAGTTGATATTGTTGATATTACCCGGGTTTGTTGAAGGTTATCTTCATGTTCGCAATAGGAAATCCACTACTTGTGGAACCTATAGGGATTATCCTTGCTGTTTTGGGCCATCTAAAGCAAAACCAAGATTATAGTTTCATAGTATATAGTATAGTAATCATATTTTTGTATTTGTAGAATGTTACTATGGTTAAGTTATATAAATGATGCTATATTGTGAATAGAATAATACCATAATGATATGGTGATAATATTTTAGTAACTCATCACAATGCAGCAATAGTCAATGATAATGATATTGATGATCATAATTCGTGTATATATATATAGATAAGAATATATGATAATATATGGAGGTTTCCTGAAATAGGGGTAACCCCAAAAATCATCTCTTTTTTAGGAAACCATCCATCTAGGGTACCATTGTACAGGTCATCGAGGTTCTTACAGGTCATCCAGGTCGCCGTTATCGGCTTTTCGGGGTCAGGTGGTCAACTGGCGGTGACGGAGGTCTTGAAATTGAACAGTCGCTGGGCGGTTCCCGCGTCGCGTGAGTTCAACTTTTTCAATTGCTGGAAAATCATGGTGAATTCATAGGGGTTCTAATCACCAAAATATGAAGGTTCGTCATTTGATAGGGACTTTAGCCAGCAAAATATGGAGATATAAATGGATATGATTGATAGATGATGATTGGTTGATGATTAGTTCGTCATTTGATAGGGACTTGAACCAGCAAAACATGAGGTTTTTAAGTGGATAGAATCTAGATGACGGTTGATTGATGCTTAGTTTTGGGATTTTACTATCCAATATACTAGGATTATCACGATCCATTAGGGGAAATCCGCTCTTTTGCAGCCACTATCAAGGGAGGACAGAGAGTTTTGAACACTGCTCTATAACTGGGTGGCACCGTTGGCACCTCATTGTAGGAGTTTAATATATTGGGGATTTTCCAAATCCATGAGCTGGGAATCCCTATTCATCAACCTGGGTTCCCAATGGGAAATTCACCGTGACTTGGGAATCGCTGTTTTTTTTTCTCATTTGTTGGGGCCACCCTTGAGCACATCCAAGGATATGGGGGGTATGTAACTACTGTCAACGGACCAATGGGCTTTAATCATAATTTGGATTTATTTAGAAGTATATGAAAAAAAACACCTTGTATGAACATGGGGCAGACCCCAGGATTGCAATTTGAATGATTTTGAATTTGGAAACTTTGGAATAGGGGTAGATCAAAGGGATACTATACTTTCAGACAAACCCTTATGGGGATAGAACCATCAATCAGGATTTATGTGGATTCATGGATTGAAATGGTGAGATGGGAACTGGATTTATGGATGTGAATGGTTTGACGGGTTATGTCGGTTATGTGAAAAAGGGTGTTTTTTAATCCGAAAATCACCTCAAACCCTAAAAATACATGGCAAATGTTCTAAGCAAACCATGTCTTTGAGATACCCACAGCTGGGTCGAGATTTCGCACAGCTGCTGGGTCTCCTTTTCCGATTTCGGTGCCGAGGCACCTTGATGCTGGCGGTGTGGGGCCAAGCGATGAACACCTGGCAATCTATCCGACCTCACCAGGCGATTGCCATCCTGGCATCCTGGGGGTCGAGCGAAAACACAACTCGCCAGTTGAGGCTGAAAAATTGGATGTCCCATGAAAACCACATTTTGATGACGAAATTCTCCAAATTCATAGCCAGACGTCGTTTTTTTTTTTTCGTATGACAAAAAAAAAACGGCCTCGCGCCGTGTCGCGACGTCGCGAAAGGAACGTGACTTGGTCCTGGCGCAGTTGCACGACTACCAATCCAATGTTTCGACCAAGGACGACTCGGAGTGGCTTGGTGGCCGGCTGTTGTGATCTGTGCTGGATGATCCTGGTACAGGGATTCGTTGTAGCTGTACATGGTGTGTTTTTACCATTGTTTTTACATTTGTTTTTGTACTATATATAAATATATCACATATATATAATTTATGTATATGTTCTATTGTTCTTTTGAAGATTTACCAGTCATTGTTTTTAACTTTCTTGTTTATGAGTCGATTTGGGGGGTATTTCCCGTGGTGGATCCAACAGTATGAAATCTTGTAGCGATATCCATGTGGGTAAACGGGTAATTTATTTTCATCATTTTCCCGAAGCCCTAAAATTGGGGTTCCAGTCGTTAAAGTCTGGGGCTGTATGAAAAATCATTACTGAATAGCTATCCTTCACCACCTAGTTGACCCACATATCCCATACTCTTGCTGGTGATATCCAAATGTTCCATGATTCATGGTATCCATACATGATTTTTACCAGTTGCGGTCAAAATCACCACGGTTTCCCATCCCTCCCCGAGGTACGTGGGCGTCTACGAGGTGACCGCTGGCCGGATGCAGCTGCAAGACCAGGCCATGATGGTTCGCCGGTGAGGTGATCATATAGCCTCTGGTAAACTAACATAGCTATGGAAAATGGCCATAGAAATAGTGGATTTTCGCATGAAACTATGGTGATTTAAACCATAGTTATGTGGCAAATTACCAGAGGTTAACATCTAGATGATTAGAATTAATACATAGCTGGTAATTTGATGATTAGAATATACATAGCTGGTAATTTGATGATTAGAATATACATAGCTGGTAACATCTAGATGATGATTCTAGATGATAATTTTGTATATCCTAATCCTGATTTAACATAGCTATTGAACATGTCCCATAGAAATAGATGATTTTCCCAGCTATAAACCTCCATTTGTGAGGAAATCCATGGCTATGTTAAATAACCAGATGGTATTCTATCTTGATGCACTAGGATATTAGAATTCTCATGATTAGGATATACAATTATCATACATAGACTGGTTGGTGGTTTCAAACATTTTTTATTTTTCCATCTATTTTTTTGGTTTTAATCATCCCAACTGACGAACTCACTCCATCATTTTTCGGTCGGCGAAAAACCACCAACCAGCAGGATACATCTCCAGAAGATCACTGGTGATCGTCAAAGATAAGGATCTAAGCACCGATAGCGTGGAGAGATAGGGTTTTTTTCGCTTGAAGAACTCATGATGTTCTTGTTACCCTCTGGTGAACTAACAGTTTGCAATGGAAAATGGCTATTTATAGTGAGTTTTCCCATTAAAAATGGTGATTTTCCATTGCTATGTTAGTTCACCAGAGGGTACATCAAGCAGTTTCAGTCAACATGGAGAATTGATTCGCGGTTGTATTTTTTTCTGAGGTCATGATCAATGATGCCCTGGTTGATTTTAATCATCATAATCATCAATCTATGTCTCTAGGCATAGATAATCATAGATACTTAAGATGATACTTGGTGCCATAAGTAATCATGGTTAACCAATCTATGTTTTCCTAAGTCATGGTACAATATGGTACCCTCAAATCATCATCCCGTCGTTTTTTCAAGCCATGGTTTCGGGGTCCAGACCGTTGCCAGGTGAAGTTATCCTGCCCCTGGGTGGAGGTCAAACCTGGAGAATTTTTTGGGCAACGTTAGGCCATGAAAACTGTAACATGGAGAAATGAACATTTGGTTGGTGGTTTGGATACATTTGGATTATTTTTCATTATTTTTCCATATATTGGGAACAATGATCCCGACTGACGAACTCATATTTTTCAGAGGGGTTGGTTGAAACCACCAGACATCAACATGACGAAGTTCACCTGATTTTCATTTCTCTACGATAGGACCTGGTTCGAAGGGTGAAAATAAAGCATCTGAGGTAAACCGTTTAACCCAAAGATGCAACGAGACGCAAGCAATATCTAGGACTCGGACATCAACTTTTTATACTTTGATTTGTTTTTGTGTCCGACAGATTGACATTAGTTCTTCTCCATAGCGCGCATACGATGTGGCGTCCCTGCAACTTTGGAGAGGGATGTTGATCCGGGGAATGCCAAAAAAGTTGAGTCTAAACGGGGACTGATATTGGAATAGGGGCTTCAGAAAAAGGAATTTGTTGGAGACTTGGTTATTTTATTTTGGGAGTAGCTCATTTGTGGTGCTACTTTCGCGCATCACTATGATGATAAGATATGATAAGATATTACGTATGAGTTATGCAACGGATGGAATATCTCCACCTGTGATCTTATCCAGTTACGATTCCTCATCCAAATCCCATAAAGTGGTGCCGAAATAGCTGCTGACTTGCTCCTTTAGTTCGATATATCATGATATATCTACTATTCTTACCCAAGAGTCTTGTAGAAACCAACAGTTCTTGCAGATAGAAACCAACTTATCTAAGTTTAAGTAGTAAAACTTCCATTTGACGTCGTTCAACTCACCATTTCTGCTGGAAACCCATTTTTCAAACGGTCTGCAGGTGGCCATTCCAGCACATGGGCCCCGTATCTACGAGGCAGCTGGGGGTAGTTTCTGTGTAATGTACTAATTCATGGGAGTATCATGGTTAGTGATTATTAATGATTAATGGTAGTTAATAGAATGTTAATAGTGATTATGCAAAAATAGTAGTTAATAGTGAGTGTGAAAGGCACTTTAATAGTGCTAAATCGTGGTTCATAGTGATCATTAATGTTTTTTTTTTTTTTGTGGGACATCAACTACAACTTTCTGCACAATGGGAATATCATTGGGATATATATATATAATATACACACATATATATATAATGATATATATGTATATATATATATGAACGAACAACAATGGGAATAGCCTTCGGTAATCCAACGTGGTTTGCTGGAACATCCGCCATGACTAGTTCGATGCTTTTCCTAAATTTAAAGCCCCAGTTAGTTGGATGATTTCCATTGCCAAGTTTCATTACCAGATGGTAAACATGCTATGAAAATAATCCAGTTGTAGATGGTTTTATGTTCCCAGCTACATAAAGGGGTTGATCTGGCGTATTTCAACTGGTTTCTCGGTCTCCAATATGTCGTATTTCAACAATACAAAATGATGATCCCCAATGACTTTGGTGTAATTTTTTCATACCGCGCCTGAAACCACGAACCAGATGAGGGTACGTAAACAGAAGGACTCCAAAGTGGCTTTATGACTGAATTGGGAATTGTCATAATTTGCCAAGGTGCTTTGAATTTTACAACAATATTCTACAGGCTATGAGCCGGCAACGAAAGATGGCTTTGTGCCAAGAGGTTCCGCCTAAAATCCGCCCAAGTCCCTCATCCCAAATGGTTTATCCTCCTTTCCAGCCAGGGATTTGGACCAAAAAAACCCATGGTGTGAGAATAGGGACGAAAGCTACATCGCAGCCTGGGGCGATGCACGAATAGGGAGTTGAAAGTTCTCAGTGGATTTGGGGAGACACGAGCGATCGTACCCCGGCTCCATTTCCTTCTCAAAGTTGCAGTAGCTGCAGTGTCAAGCTCCATGGAAGACCAGCCATCAGTGGTCTTGAAATACATGAACAGAAAACAGACATCAACACATAGAACGTATACACGTTTACATGAATCTTTTAAACATCTGCTTCCTCACAGCTGTTTATTCCATCATATTTCAGCATGTTGCAGGCTTCAGCTACTGTAGATGGACAAAATCCTGCACCAGTTGGTAAGTATTGGTATTTTTTTTTTTGAAACACTGTAAATAATGAGATTAGAATGGGGGATTAGAATGGGATAAACATCATATTTCACCATATTTCACCATATTTCACCATGTTTCACCATATTTCACCATATTTCACCATATTTCACCATATTTCATGATGTTTTGAAGATGTTGCTTCACCTAGAAACGGTGTTTCAACCAGAAGTTGTGGCCTCCGCTCTTTCCATCCGCTGGCGTTCGTTCGAATGGAGGCAACTCGGCAGATCATTGGGGAAGCCACTGTCACTAATATTATATAACTGACTATATATTAATAGTATATATTAGTGGCAGTAATATTAACTGATAGTATATATTAACTAATATTAACTAATATTAACTGTCAGTAATATAGTATATATTAATATATTAATAGTATATATTAGTATATTGATAGTGACTTATCAGTATATAGTGACTAATTATACTGATACTATAGTTGCCTCACTATATAATGGTCACTTAATATATAGTCAGTTAACATATACTGATTCACTATTATATAGTGACTTATCAGTATATATTGACTTATTATTTCTCGTGAATATGTTGACTGTTATTCACTAGCTATGATTCACTATAATATATAGTATATAGGTCCGAAGATTATTCGCACACTTTCCGGTTTGTGTGTTTTATTCCATGTGTTTTCATTTTTTAAATGTAGATACTGTAACATGATGTACAATCATCCTGATGTGAGAAGATGATTCGGAATCGACCAAGCTTTCTCTGGTATGGATGGCTGTACATGGCTATTGGCATATGTAATAGTATGTAATAGTATTGAATTGCGTACTCTTAGCTATGGAACACCAATTATGTGTAGATCTCTTACCTGGGGAAACTCATGGATTTCCATATTCATTCTGGTATTTGCACCGAGGCAAACGATGAGGCAGGGTGACCGGTCGAGACTTGAGGTACCAACTCGCCAGATGATTGATACCATGCTGTTGGCTGGGATATTCCAAGGATACCCGACATGGTAAACTAACAGTTTGCGAACTGGAAAAACCACCATCTTTAAGTTCGGTACATCAACTTTTACTTGGGGCAAAAATTTCAATAGCAAACTGTGACCAGAGGGTAATGGTTGGGAAATGGCATGTACGAAGTCATCAAGCCACGAGACGCAACCTGCGCGAGGTGATGCCCGCAGCCAAGTTGATTTATAACTTGGTGAACTATTAGGGGAGATAGATCTATAGCTTAAGGATATATCCATATCCATAGATCATGATAGATCTAGAGGTTTTTTCTCCGGTTTATGGGATAGATATCCATAGCTGAATAGGATGGAAAATTGGGAGGCATATCTCCAGTCGCATGGCTTGACCCATCGAAGTTCCGTTGGTACCTGGAAAGTGGCATCCATCTCTGTTCGTTTTCGGGGAACATATCAGCATCCTGGTGGCATTCTGGTGGCAGCCACTTGTCTATCTTTTTTGCTTGCTATATGGGGATGGGTCAAAACCCTGGTACCCCTGGTGAACATCAAAATAGCTGGGATTTATGGATGTTCATCCCACTAAAAATGGTATTAATAGGTATTGATCCATAGCCATATGTTGCTATACTATGATTGAAAAAAACATCACGATCCAGTCGAGGTGATTTTTTGCCATCTTTTTATGGACCTTTCTCACAGTTGAGGTACTCGAGGCCATTGGTTTGGGCATTTAAAGTTGTCCATTTTGTTTAGTATATTACATTAATGTATATTAATGTATGTTAATGTATATTAATGTATATTAATGTTCGATGATTTTGGAGTTCCCCATTTTACGAAGCCAATGGGCTTGTCTGTGCTTGCGGAGTACTCCTAATTCCACAGAATGATCATCCATGGTTCCCATTGCAATGGTTATTTTGATATACCATGGTATACCTAATCTAGTTGGTGATTTGGAACATTGGGATTATTTTTCCATATATTGGGAATAGTACGCCCAACTGACTTTTATTTATTTTTCAGAGGAGTAGGTATAGAAAACCAACCAGTAATTTTTGGCCAAAGGCTTGTCATATATTAGTCCATCCCCATGTCCCCATGATGTCAGAATCTGCGCGTTGAATTTTCGGTGTATCCTGCACTTAAAGTGACCATCTCTCATGACTGGTTAAACGGCTGTGTACCCATCGATCGATCCATCAATCGATCTTTCTTTACAGTATCTCGTATATATATATAGTTATAATATATGTAGTTATATATATATAGTTATAGTTATATATATATAGTTATATATATATAGTTATAATATATATATATTGTATATAAGATTATACCCAGGGAGTACATTATAGACAGGAGACAGGACACCATTTTTCCGCATGTTCCTGTTCAGACGATGGCTTTGTGTCAGGAGGTCTCCGTGGCATCTTTGACGTTGCCAGATAGCCTCATGAGGAACTTGATGAGGACCTCAGTGTCTGACAGTGACCACTGGTCTTTCCCCAAAAATGATTGGGAGGATGATAATATACATTCATATAGATTAATATAGATTAATATAGATGATTGGTCATTAATATAGATGATAATACATTCATATAGATTAATATACTATAATGGGATGAATGTATATGACTGTATTATCATCAATGTATATGAATTAATATGGATTAATATAGATTAATATACATTCATATACATTAATGGGATGTTGGGATACCACATGTTCAGACACATCCACAGGTGAATGCTTCGTGATAACGCTTCCACGGGGTGATGTTTTGGGAAAAACATAGAGCAAACAATGTGGTTTTACGTCCAACATGTGGTTTCCTGTAGATTTTCCCGTAACCAATGCTAGGTTACGCCCTGGATGCCCTGGTCATGTCATTTCCAGTTGGCAACTTGAAAGCACCGCGGTTCCGCTGGACAGATATGGATGCGATTTGGCTCAAGCTGAGAAACTCAGCAGCTTCAAGGTGAGCAGACTGTCACTGTTTTATGTTCCCGCAGAATTTACTGAATTTACGCTCCTCATTTTGTCTCCTCATGTGATTCAAAGAAAACTGAGGCTTAGTCTTCAAATTCACTGATTCTTTCAGTCGGTCGAAAATGATCCCGTACCTCTGGATATCAAACACATCCTTCGATTCCAAGGAGGATTGATCTCTAAAACAGGGGTCTCCCATACATCAGGCAGCACAAAGCACCACGCCGCCCGTAGCCCCATGCCGCGTCAGGGGAGGAAACGACACTTGGCCAGAAATCGGCAGTTCACCTCAACACTGCTGGCATCTCGACATGAAGGGGGCAAAACACGTATACCCGGCCTGGTAAACATACAAATAGCTATTGAACATGGCCATAGAAATCGTGGATTTGTCCAGCTATAAAATGGTGGATCTTTCCATAGCTATGTTAGTCATTACCAGAGGGTATAGCAACCCATGTGTTTGGTGCCACAGTTGGAGAGTTGGAACCCCACCGGATTCATCGTCTTTTTGGTGGACCGACCTGGCAGCGAGGAAAGAAAACACGTACGGAGAAGGAAGCGGATCCAGGGGAACGGCAGAAGAAGCTGACCCCCAGGCAGAACGGAACCACTTGGAGTGGTTTTTTTCTGATTTTTGGATATTTTTGGTGTAAGCCCCCCAGGGTAGAACAGTAAAATCCTTCTAAAATGATGAGATAATAAGATAATCAATCACTTTTCTATCTATTTGCGTGTTGAACATAATGGACAAGCTGCAAACAAATGAAGGAACACCATGGAAAAGCTGCAAAGAATTGGACGTTCACCAGCAGAAATGAGGATATAATATGTTTCGATTGACCTCAGTTTTGACCATGGTTCAATTTGTTCAGTGTGGATGATCACGACCCGTTCTGAACTTGAAGCACCCACCATCTCATCGTTATTTTGTTTCTATTGTGTTGCTTGTAGCAGATCGTAGGTTGTTTTATTTCCAGTCTGGTTGGCTATATATATATATATGTATTTATATATATATATATATTTGCAAAAAAAAATCAATTGTAAGGCCTCTATCCGTAGTTTTGATGAATCAAATTCAAAAGCCATTAATGTGGATGGGTCAAAGCACGTCAAGTCACCTATTGCTATCACAAATTGGGAGCGTGCACAACTACCAACGCAGGTGCTTCGTGATCAAGCGCGGAGATGTATCTTGGTTGGGCCAGGGGATCATGGACTTCGTGGTTTTCAAAGGAGCAAATTGATGTTCATATTACAACACTTACGTATATATACTATATATTGATTATACGTGTATATAATAAATATATATATATAATATGTATATATATATATATACATACATATGTATATTCGTGATTTACAGTGTTACGCGGTGATTTAGGGGGATTCATAGGGGATTTCTGGGACTTCAGAAGGATTTAGAAGGATTTATGGGGATTCAAAGCAGCAATGATTCAATATATTATATACCCTCCAATTTAAGAACAGGGTCAGTATATTCCACCAGGCGTTTTGTTTTGTTGCACTTCATGTCAAGGAAGGAAGGGATTACTCTTGTTGCTTGCCTATGATGGTGGGTTGTAGGACCTGAATCAATAGGGAATGTCAAGAACTTAACTTAAGAAGCCATAATTTCCCAGATCTAGAAATCCCTGGGCTGATCATTGGGAGTGTACCATTTTTGTAGCAGATGATCACTTTTTGGGTGTAACCCCCTAGTTATATAATCAACCAGGGTTTAGGAATCCTTGATAATAATGAGAACATATCACAATCATCAACAATCCCCAGTATGTGGTTTGTGGTTGGGGGTTTGTAGCTGAAAGATGCTGGCCACTGAAATAGATACAAGTCAAACCTATCAGTGGAAACAGAGGCATCCCTAAAATGTAACAAAAATGGGCTTCAATTATATGTTTTCTTCGTCAGGAACAACCATTGCTGATTGAGGGGGATTTATTGGGCAATATCTACTGGGAGATGAGAGCCATCTTTAGACCTGGAAAACACAGATATGTCCGAGCTAGAAATCTAGAATATATTTGCCAGTATCAAAGGTTCTGCCTGGTTCGGAGCCTCTACTTCCGAACTTCAGGGAGAGGCAACCCATGACATAGGATTGTCATGAAATTTGCGGATTTGAGCCACTTGAACATAGGTCCTTTGACTCCTTTGGTTTAGCGTGCCATACATGACAACCCAAAGTGATATAGCTCATGTTATTCTTTTTGGAAAGTGCTCCTTGCCTATTTTTGGAAGGTGCTCCTCTGGTGCCTGTTGATACTGAAAACTTAATTACCGTCTGGTAAACTATATAACATAACTATGGAAAATCACCCTTTTACATGGGTAAATCAACTATTTCTATGGCAATTTTCAATCATTCAATAGCTATGTGAGTTTACCAGGCGGTAAGTTTTTTTGGTTGATTCTATCGCCCTTCTGGTTCGTGTTCTCCATCGTTGGAGCCGCGGAGCTTGGTACACGTACCATTGTTTATCAGTGATGGTTACCATCTGGTTATGACTAACATCGCCATGGAAAATCCCCATGCTATTAAGAACGGTAAACCATCTATTTCTATGGGCCATCTATACCATGGCTATGTTAAATAACCAGATGGTAAGTCGATTACTGTAGATCCCTTCTTTTGATGGTTAAACCAACTCATGTTCTTAAGAATGGCCATATCCCAATGTTTTTCGAAGGACATCAGGAAGATTTCATGCATAGCACCGCAAAACACTTGATGGTCAATGTGCTTAACCGCTAAACCCAAGTATAAACCACCACCCATATTGCAATGGCTGGTAAAAGCCATAGATGGTAGGTTCATGGTGCTTGGATTTGCCTATTTATTACAGAAAAAAATACAAATATCATAATCATACTGTGGATGGAAGAAATCCTGCACCAGTTGGTAGATGGTAAACATATTATATGTAAACATTCCATTATAATCTCATTATTTAATATTATTGATTGTTGACAGTGTTTCACAGTCGCCAATTCACCAATAGTCACCAACTGGTGCAGGATGGCCTGCCCATCCACAGTATCACCATAATCATCATAATAATCATCATAATAACAACTATTATAAGTATAATCATTATGAAGTTTATATCATAATCAGAATAATCATATCATAATCAACATAATCATCACAATAATCACCATCATATTCACCATTATAAGTATAATCACCACAATAAACAACTAGAAAATCATTATGATTTCATAAACAACTACAAAAAACACTATCAGAAATCATCTCCCATTCATCCATCGAGGTGGGTGATCGCATCAAAGACCTGGTGCAGGACTTTCGAAACGTCGGGGGCACCCAGGATTTTTTTCATGAGGGAACGATGTATAAACAAGAGATCTGTAACATATAAAATATAATATAATATATCTATTAGTCTATTTTGCCCTCCAATATATGTATCTATATATGTATATAATTGTATATATAGATATAGTTATATATATATATATATAATATGACTAAATATATAATATATATATATATATATTATATACACATGTATCGATATATTACACTATAAATCCACATGCGCGTTCAGCTCAGGTGATGATGCCCAACAGCGCCAAGGCCTTGAAAGAGTCCAAGCAGAACCGCGCACCTTGGCGAAACTCGCCAGTTTCGTTGGAACGTCATGGTGATTTCAGCTATAGATATAGTTAGAATATCATGGTAATTATTCATTACTGTATCCATGAAATGGTGAAACACTAGACACTTATTTTCATTGAATCAAATGGGTATGGATCAATACCTATTAATACCATTTTTAGGGGGATGAACATCCATAAATCCCAGCTATTTTGATGTTCACCAGGGGTACAAGGTTTTGACACACTGCCAAATGGGAAGCAAGAAATGATGGGTTTTCTAGACAAAAACTCACCATTTGATTTCCATCATGAGCTCAAAAAATCATTTAATTTCATGGTTTTCTAGAAAATTTCTAGACAAAAACATGAGCTTCTAAACTCACCATGACATTTGGACATTTGATCGGCTCGATGGTGGCTCCACCGTTGGAACAGCGTCGTCCGCTGAGGTGGAAGACTTCATTGCTGCGTCTTGGTGCGGAGAAGACTTTTACGGAACACGTTGAGTTGAGAGGTTACTTAAAATGGACATTTAGGCATCATACATACATATATATATATATGGTATCTATGGGTTTTAACCACCAGAAATCTGTGAATATTGGTATGAATTGATATGATATAACTATATATAAGTGATATAAGTGATATTCACTCTGATTGACTCGTTATAGGGCATTATACCACCCAATTAGAATAATCCAATTGGCTGAAATGTAGGCAATAGTTTTTTTTTTTAAATAAAGGATCTTTCTGAACTGGGAATTCCTATTAATTAACAAACCAGATCAAACCAGTATTTCATGAAATGGGTTATAGTGAATTATACTACATGGGTTCTTGGGGATTATGAACCCATATGAAGGCAGAATTTTGGACGATTTTTTCAGCAACGATGCATGGGATGAAGTTCACGGTGATATCAAGGCTGGGGACGCGGGGCGAGGCAAACTTCAACTCTTGCTTGACTCGGCAAGATGAACTAGTCACCCAAATAATATACCCTCTGGTTATGACTAACATAGCCATGGTATAGATGGCCCATAGAAATAGATGGTTTACCTTTAAAAAATGGTGATTTTCCATGGCTATGTTAAATAACCAGAGGGTATATATGTATAGTTATATATATATAGCACTGTAATAATATGTATATATAGCAGTATCAGTATCACGGTTTCATGGAGCTGTATATTCAGTCAACATTTGGATATCGAAGTGTGTTCAACCACGTTGCGAAGCAAGAACCATTTCGGTCGGAATGGCCAGTTGATCGAACTAGCATTGACTATCCCGAATTGCTTGGAATCGTCCCTTCTGATTGACAGATTTTACCCTGTAGAGATCCACATTTTTGCTGATATAACCTAGCAGCTGTCAGTTGCAACAACTCTACACTCTTCTGCACCGTCACTGCTGTGTCTTGAAGGTTGCAAGTCACTTCAGCGTGACACACCTCATCATTTTCAGCGCCACCAAAGCAGTGACTGGGACGTGAAGATCCGCTGATGGGGAGGTATCGGGTTTGTGAAAAACAAGTGGGGTCGTTGAACCACTGGATTTTAGGATACTCAACCAGTTTGGACAAAGCCACTTCAATGCTGGTGTTTTCAACCAGGAAAGCACGCACTGGTAGAACCCCCTCACTAATTGTCCATTGCCAGGTCGTTCACCAAAAGTCACTTGGGCAATGCGCCATTTTGGTGGCTTCAACTCACTATCTATACATATAATATCATATAATATATACATATAAGATATATACCAAAAAAATAATACAACTTGGGTACTTTACTAGAAAAACATCTACATCACAAACATAACATATCTAAATGATCTCGTCATTCTGATGGCCAAAACTTTATGGCTTGACCCGGTTGAGGCCACCTACATGAAGCTGGCTCGCTTGCCTCAAGGGCCCACCTTGACCTTTCGCGTGGACAGTGGCGAGTCCTGAAGGAAACCCAGGAAGTGGGGTTTTTCATGGTGGGTTTCATGGTGAAGTTCACGATGATTACCCTCTGGTTATGACTAACATAGCCATGGTATAGATGGCCCATAGAAATAGATGGTTTACCTATTAATAGCATGGTGATTTCCCATGGGATTAACTAATGATTCACTTAGTTAGTAGTGATTAATCATGATGAATCATTCACTAATGGTTATTCACAATTAATCATGCTTTAGTGAATCATGATTATATAATCATGGTGAACATATTCATGTTAGCGATGATTAATTAATGTTATGGTGAAATTAATCATAATGGTGATTCAGTGGTGAATTGATATTGTAGCCCCACACGTCAAAATGATGAAACAATATGAAACATGCATTGTCTCACCAAAATCACTCAGCAGGCTATCCAAGATTTGCTGTGCAACGAACTTGCACTGGTTCCAGTTTGGGATGCGGCTGCAGCCTCATCGATGTTGAGTATGTGGATTTGGCACATCATCAGGGAGCTTTGTGAATTGCGACACGGTTTCCAACCAAAACTGAGTGAAATTGTGGAGTACCATCAAGGAGACTTTCCCATATAAATTATCATATGAAGCAAAGGCCCAAAGTGACGACACGTTTTTTTTCAGGCAAAGTGTGCCGTTTCCGAAAACCAGATGGTCCATTTTTTTTGCGATGTTCCTGACGATCGCAGGTTGTAGTCCCAAAAATTGCAGCGACACAATGATTTTTGAGTGGCTAGACTTCAAGCGTTAAAAACCTATTGTTGGCTTGACTGGAGATCATCATATTCCGTGTTGCATTGTTGGTGGCACCGTTGTGGTTGCGGTTTGGTTCTGCCCGGGCTCCTACCAACGACCATTCAATGGCCGGAAGTCTCGAAACAGGCAGTGAGATCGTGCAAGAATTGCTATAGTTGTTCTTTTCTCATCATTTCTCCCATTTTGTACCATATCAATCCATATCAAAACTATAGGTGAAGCTACGCTAATGTGCTAATTAGTGTTTTTCGATTTATTGTTGATTTATCCACAAAATAGAACCATCAACGCCGATTCCGCTCACCGAAACCAAGGTTTCACGTTGGCGCGGGAGGTCCGAGTAGCCCAGAAGCGTCCACAAGGTGGGCATGGAGTTTCCAGTGTTCACATTTGCTTTATCGTTTACGTTTGGATGTAAAGAACATTGACACTATTCACTGGTATATTCTATGGTATGAGATTTTGACCCCAATAAAAAACTGTACTGTAAACAAATTTTGGTATGATTCATGATAGTATTTCCGAGTTTGGATATTTCATTTTTACATATTCACACGAAAAAAACAGTATATTCATGTTAATATTCTATATATTTTTTTTAAATGAATTTTATATTCATAGACCAATAGTATTACATAAATATTATATTACATAAATAATCTTGGAGTCTTATAATATACATCTTAAATATCTCGAGTGGATGAATTGTCGCGGGATCGGCGGACCATTGTATGACCTCTTTGGACCTTTGGCAATGCCTTCATGGCATGATTTTTATGGCCATTGAATGGTGGAAACTATATGGGAAAATGATGATTATACTGATGAAAAACACCAGGATTCTAGACTTTCTGGCCATAAAAATCTCATTTCATAGGGATGGTGATGATAAAATATGATAAACCATCCAATTTCTTCAACGGATTTCCCCCTTTTCAATTTTTTCAACGCCACAAATGGCGAGGAACTTCGCGAGACTTCGTGACTCCACCGTTGCAGGTGGAGAGAGTGGCAGGATGGGGAAATCAACATCTCGACATCGTTGCCGCAACTAGTTACTATAGATGTTTTCAGAATGTTTCCACACATCACGCATTTCCTATCCATTTCCCTGAGGAAATGCGGCATTGATCGGGTTAACTGTTGGGTTTATGGTAGATATAATGTAGAGATATCGATGTTGTTAGATGGGTTCACAAGAACGAACAAACATAACAACTATCACTTCATATCACTTCATTAATTCGTTACTGTAGTATAATATAGTATAATGTATTACTTCATAGTATCAATTATAAATTATAGATAATTGTATAATAGTATATTATAGTTAGTTTTGATGGATTTTCATATCACCTCATTACTTAGTATCACTTCATTAATTATCTAGTTACTTAGTTACTTATTCACTCTCGTAGTTAGTCAGTCAGTTAGTCAGTCAGTCAGCATGCCAGCCAGCCAGTCAGCTAGTCAGTTCGTTAGTTAGTCGGTGAGCTAGTTGGCTAGTTAGTTAATTAATTAGTGAGTTGGCTAGTTAGCTAGTTTCTTGATTAGCTAGTTACCTATACTTATTTTATTTTTATCTTTATCTTTATCTTCATGAGTTATTTCGTTTTGCCTTCATTTCTGACATCCGGTTCTCTTCGTGTCAGGTGCTGAATGGCCTTGGAGGTCCCAAGGCGAGGTTTCCAGGGGTCACAAAGTCCTGGTGATAACTAACTTTCGCGAATGTTGAGGTGATAAAAATCATGGGATTCACATGGATTCACCAACAAGAACTTTGCAAAGACTCAAAGACGACTCGAGACTGAGTGGCCTTGGAGAGTCTCTGAGAATTTCACAAAGATTCAGACTTGGGACGATAAGCAGCAGTGACATAGTGGAAATACATTAAAAAAAACCATGTGGGGGTGATCTGGTATTGACCCAAAAACGGGGACTGGGCAATATGCCGATCTGGGATGATTTTTTCCAAGAAGCCATAAGAGGACTGAAGAAGTTCAACACGGACCAACGGGAGGAAGTGGGATTGGCCGCATCCGCTAATGGTGTAGGGTTGGTGGAATCTCGCGGCAGGTGAACCCGAATGAGTTGATGATCAAAACTCTCCAACCGGTTTTTGCCAATCACTGGTAGTTAGAACATGTTAGAACCGCATCCGTAAACAGCTTGGGCGAAAGTCCGAGAATTTCAAGAGCATCGAATCCCGGGTTTTTGTGACTTCTAAAGGTGTCACCAAAACTCCCAGCCGGCTCAATGCCACGAACCAGAATGACAAAATATGACAAACGTTGAAAAATAGAACCAATTAATTGAGACCTGCAAAAGATGAATCATCACTTTTCACTGGTTTTTAAATGTTTTTAAAAAACGTTTTTGCTACCATGGTGCCATCCATTTCGGACATTCCTCAGATTCCCAGCGGTGAAGCTCACCGGTGCCAGGACTCTCCGGAGGGCGCTGGTGGTGGCAAATCTTTGAAGATGTCCGAGAGACAACTCGTGGCCGAGATGCTTCGAGGCCGGGGGTTGTGGGATCTTGAGATCTGGGGATGACTTAAAGCGTTGGACCAAAGATTTGGATCATAAGGATATATGTTTGGACAGGATCTGAAAGATGGAAATGGTGAGAAATCTTCAGAACGTGGTGATTCAACATCTTGCCCAAGAGGTTTTGTATGGTTTTGTGAAGAACATCCTCCGCATTTAGCCCCAAAAAAATAGTGGGAAATCCACCGTGAGCCACCTGTGTCAGGGGCCTTCCCAGCCATAGATGTGCCAAGCTTCAACCAGGCGTTTGGGGTGAAGGAGTCAATGGCTGTTGAAGGGTGTTCAAAAACTATGAATTCACTATGGCAACTGGTGATGTAACTAATTACGGAAGATGCGGATATAATGCGGGTATAATGGGTATATGATGGGTAGATGATGGTAGATGATGTTAATATGATGTTATATGATCTTATATGTGTGTATCTATATCTATCTATTTTATGATGGCTACATTTCATGGGTGCAGTGAAACTCGGTGACTTTGATGAGATGGGCCCTTTTTGGTTACGCGCGAGGTGGGACATGGGGCTAAGATTTAAGATGTTGATGCCCTGATGGGAAGGGATATCTACCCTCTGGTAAACTAACAGTTTGCTATGGAAAATCACCATCTTTAATGGGTAAATCCACTATTTCAATGGCCATGTTCAATAGCTTTTTGTATGTTTACCAGAGGGTCCTAGGATGATCTAGGTAGAATCGAATCGTGGCGATCCAAAACAGCCATACAGCTACTATGTCCTTCATATACATCTGGGATCATCTGGGTATACCGGTATACCGGTAGTTGATCGGAGCATGAATGGGCCGACTATTTTATAGACTTCTATCACATCTCACTGATACCAGGACATATCAGGACAATATATATAGATAATATATTCTATGTATGTATATATATATATATACATTATATTCATATATTATATGGAAATTCTAAGTTGACCATCGTGTGAAGTTGAAACATGTCACTAGATCATAGATGTAAATGGATTAGAAATCTGCTATCAACTAGATCATAGTTGAAACATGTTGAAACCTGGTCCAGGAACCTATGATAGGATCATCGCCGATGTCTCGAGAAGGCTATGGTTAAAAACCACTGGAATAATGATATCTCAATCTTACCCTCTGGTTATGTCAAAATAGCTATTGAAAATGGTCATTTATAGTGGATTTTCCCATGAAAAATGGTGATTTTCCATAGCTATGTTAGTTTACCAGAGGGTATCCCAATTTTCGTGAGTCATGTTTTCTCTAAGAAATGCTGCCAGTATGATGACTGCGGCCTGCAATGATGGCTAAAATGGACTTTGAATGCTCGAGCAACTCCGATCGGCGCTTTGCCCAAGTGAAATGGGTATAGTACCGGGCTATAGTAAGCCCCCATTTCAGTGGAAGATCCAGGTCTACCATAAGAATCTGCCAGTGAGGCTAAGGATCGTGGTAACTATGCCAAAATAGCCCAGTCAGTTCCAACAGTAGCACCATAACATACAATACACATAATATATATATAGCTATATATATATACACATGTAGCTTACAACATGTGTCCCAAGATGTTACAACACAATAGCAGCCATCAAACCCATCTCCAGCAGCCATAGCCCATCCAAATAATGAAGGCGGAGTGCCGCAGGGCGGTGCTCTTCCACTACGACCGGGAGAACGATGCGGTGTTCTTCCGGCACTTTGTGGCTAACTTAGCTTCGCCGTCAGAATGGATGCACCAGCCAGTAATATTGAACAAAAATCTGTGTCTCCCTTTTTTCATGGTGTAGCTAGCTGTGAACAGCATTTTAACCAAGACTATTCTGGCAATATGTTTGGGATGCGAACAGCAGGGATGGTTTTGACCCACAACCAGCTGAGATGATAGACATGCATAGGGATCTATTGGTTGTTCAGACTCAGACCTGTTTGGTTCTGCATTTCTTGCTGGTCATTGTAATGATCGATGATAATTATTGATTATCCATACTGTGGAAAAGCCATTAATCAAGCATCCCCGTATTACCATAGATGGACATAAATGGGTGTTAGAAATCATCCCCAAATGGTGTATTGTGTCTCTACCATATTCAGTTTGAAGGTCCAATTGTGCGCGTAGACCGCTTGTATTTGTTTGCCATTTATATGTGGTTCGAAAACGATCACGTGGAATTTGGCCAAGATTCATTTCTGGTCGTCTGGTGTGTCAGCGAATTTCACGGGCTCAAGACAAGGTTGGTTTGAAGATGAGCTTTTCACATTGGGCTTATCAATTTGGAGAGAGAAACACATAATCTAGTAAAACCATAGTCAACCATTTGATGACCCCCGTTTGGTCAGTTATTGGGATAGTTTATTATTGGGTTTACCTCATCGTTTGTCATATTTGTTATATACAAGTTCCGTATCCTTTCTGACAAATCAAGTGCATACAGTAATGTCATGCTGGTTTCAGGCTGATTTTTTCCCAACCAAAACCTCAAAGGGTTCAAATGTGTTTTTTTTTTTCGAAACCAATGTGCCACAGTACTCTGCAACCTGCAGCGTTGCATGTCTTATCCTCTTTCTTGATGTTTTTGGGCCTTGAACCCGTAGCACCAGGTGGTGGGTCGACGTCAACTCGGTGTCGAAAGAGGTGCGGAATGTTTTTGAACATTCCGAATGTATCCGAAAGGATGTAGGGAGAACTTCCTGGTTCCTCTTAAAAAAGACATAACAAAATAACACAAAATATATCATATGCTCCAATATCTATGAAGAGCATTAAAAAAATCATTAGCAAATAACCCCGAAAGCCTGGAGCATCAGATCTATTCATTCAGAGGTACCATATCGGGATGAATGGGATCATCCGGCGAGGCATCAAGAAACTCACGCGCTTCAACCGTTTGCCGAACCTGGCCGGCAAGGCCCGGCGCTCGGAGATCTAAAAGGGTTCCTTTGGGATGTGGGAAACATTGGGAAAACATATTTGTTTGCAAACAATTGAACACTTTCAAGTCTTGTTGCGAAAGTCTTGACATACCCCGCCCCCCCCAAAAAAAATATCAATGATGAATATTACAATATATGAATATCAATTGATATCTCCAATTAATATCGATCAGTTGGAACATGTTAGAACACCCGTTTAAAATCCTCAAGTTGTTGCCTCGGCCGTCAGGAAGACATTGCCGACTTCGTCATGGGCGGTGGTGGCGTGACGAGCGAATCGGAGGTGGATGAGAGCGCCGAGGTGGAAAGAAATCTACTGGAGACCCATGTTTTATAGATGGGTATAGGTGGTTAATAATGGCTGCATGGTGTTTTAATAAATGTTGATAATGGTCAATTATGGTTATTTAGCGTTATTGATGGTTAATAATGGTTAAGAATGCTTAAACATGGTTCATCTTCTAATCTTCGGAGGTGTGGTTATAGATGGTGATTGATGGTTAATCATAATTGGTGCAGGTTTTTTCTGGGATATAACTCCATCAATAGGGATGAGTCACTGACAAAGGCCTATCAAAAAAGGGAGGTTTCTCTGTTTGGGAAGAACTCCGTCCATGACAACAATCCAGTGGTGGAGGGAGGCTAAGGATAGCTATGGTTATCTATCTTCCCTAAATGAGGAGCCAATTGGAGCTACAAATAGAGTTTCCAAAGTACATGATAGTTAATGGGATTTATCACACAGCATTTGCATCGTTTTTTTTTTCGATCCTATTTATAGAACCTTTTTTTCCAGGTTGGTTGATTTGTGATGGGGGCTGTACTGCTGATTTACCAACAGAAATAGGGATTTTGCAGGAGAGAATGGGGAATGGGACAAGTTGGAAACCTGGAAATTACTGGTAGATGGGGGATCATCAACTACTACAACCTCTCCTTTTTGTTTGCCATGATGTCTTAAGATTTGCCAAGATGATGGGGACTGGCGAAAACTTGAGAACCAGCATCCTTTAGAGTATTTTTCACTACGATTGCTCGATAGGTGATTTGGGAAACCATATAGGTGCCAAGCATCCCAAGAGATGGTCATAGATGGTCCATAGACTCTGGCAAATCTTCCCCTGTGATTTAGCCAAAAACATAGGTTCTTTCGCCCATTTCGTTGAAACTTGTGAGAATGTATACCCTCTGGTAAACTTTCACATAACGAACTGGGAAATCACCATGCTATTAATGGGAAAATCCACTATTTCAAATTTCTATGGCCATTTTCAATAGCTATGTAACAAATTACCATAGGGTATGTATAAGGTCTCTGGACCCACAACTCTTGGTGCCCATGATGTTCCCCCATAGTTTGGGTACTCAAAGGACGCATCTCATGGATGGCTGGGTCTGTAGGGTTACCACAAAGTGGGTCCAAATGGAATGTTTTGCTCCTTGGCATGAGGAAAAGACGTGGTTCGATGTTCCAAGTTCGGCCCTACAGTGCCTGTTTGACCCATAAGGCTGGAGACCACCATTGGTTTTGGTAAGATTTGCTTCAAAACATGAGCAAATTCGTCAAAACATAACAAACCCGCAAGAGGACACCCCAATTTCCGAACAAATCACGGACATCAGTCTTTGCCACATGTTGCATCATGTCGTGATCTGGCTGAATTCTAGCGACCTCACCCGCGACGTCACACTGTAAAGGCTGGTGTGTAGGAGGGGAAACATCCTAACTGCCCAACGTCTGCCTGGTAAATTACACTAATTTGCTCAAAATGAGATGTGCATTTCTTGCCGCAGCCTTTTGGCTTCCAAAGATTTGCTGTCCGCATACGTCCGGTACAGGTTCGGCACTAGCGCACGTTTAAAACACTGGGCGGTTTGCACCTAAAGCGGGCAAACACGTTGCCTGGATTTGAGGAATCGATCATATTTTCCCCGGTTCAATCCATCTATGGGGAATCAGCAGCAATCATGTTCCGTTTCCCAGTCATTTTGCGCTGGGAATCAGGGTATCAGGGCGTCTGAGGACTAGAAAGTCTACTTTTTCTGGTTCCCATCAAGCGCTGAAATCTGAGGTTGACCATTTCAGATCAGCCATTGAAGCCTGGTGAGTTCGTGTCGTGGGTGGCACGGACGTCGCGATGCTGCTCGAAAAGATTGCTCATCAGAACGTGTTTGAGAGATCCTGGGCAAAGTTAAGGAACTGTAGCAGCTAGGATAGTTGAACCATGTTGAACACAAAATTTTGAACACAATACTGACCAATATTTTAACCGGTCAGAAGGAATCGACCGGAAGGCCCTCCTGTGTAAGACCGGAAATTCAGCCATTTCACCATTTCTATCCAATTTTCTCAAGTGACATGGCGGTTCACTCTACTTTAGTAGCTTTTATTTTTCCATATCATATATTGGGAATAATGATCCCAACTGACTTTCATATTTTTCAGAGGGGTAGGTCAACCACCAACCAGATGTAAGTGGGTACCATCTTATAACCCCCGTCAAAACCTGGACATTGCCCGAGGACAGCTTATCTACAAAAGGGATCCCTACCCACCAGCGGATTCTGGTCTTGTGGCCTTTCGAGTGGATGGTACCTTGGTTCAGCATGGTTCAGCTGATCTTGGGCCACCTGCGTTGACTCCAAAATGGAGGATCCGTGGATCGGAGCCAGAAATATTGGGGACAAACTGTATTTGCACTCCACCATTAAACCCATGTATGATAATAGCATTCACTACAGCATTGCGGCTCAGAACAAAAGGCGCGAGTCGCTAGCTTAGCGGTTGTGTTTACCCACATTAGGTTTATCAGTCTATTTGGGGATAATAGGCATTACCCCTGCTGAAACCTGAAAATACAGGTTATCAGCCGTAGTCTCTTAAAGCCATGGAAAGGACAACTGGAGACACCTCAGGTGGAGGCGCCCTTGTCCCCTCGTCTGGAGCAACGGTTGCAACAACTGGTTCACAACAAAGCTTGCCGGCTGGGACAAACCCCACGCCCATGTCAGTGGATGAAGGTTTCTTCACACAGCCCGTGCAAGCATATTTCCAGTTTGTGCAAAACAATCTTACCTACATCAACGAAGGTAACATTGATGCTTTCAGGCAAGAGGCGGAAGAGAGGCACACACATCTCATGGAGCAAAAGGTCCAGCAACTGTATCAAGAGTTTGAGGGAGTTTGCCTTAGCGAAATTGCCCATCAACGTGCAGAAGCTGATCGCAGACATGAACACCTAGTGTCAGAGTATTCAGTGTCCCAAACGGCAGCTGAGCATGAGGTAGCAAAACTGAGACAGGAACTTAGCGATGCAAACGCAAAGCTAAAGAACGCTGCAAATGCAGTTGCACTGGAAGCTGAACAAAGAGCCAACCAAAAGGTAGCACACGTTACAGCCCAGTATGAACAAAGGTTTTCTGAACTCAGAGGTAGCCTCGAGGCAGACTGTAAACGAATCGTGGACGAAACAGTGGAGTATGCAAAGAATGGCATGGAAGGTTTCAAGAAAGAGGAACAAGCTGCAATCCAGGAGATTAGAGAGGAATGCAGTAGGCAGGAAAACCAAGCTGCTGAACTCAATTTCCAATTGCAGGGACAAGTCGAGGATTTGATGGAGAAGCTCAACAAGTACAGCGCCCCGGAAATCAGTGTCGACAGAGCCGTCGAAGTTGATGATGCACAAGGCGGGAACAATGTCGATTTGTACATGACCCCAAAATCAGCGGTCGGTACCAAGGCTGGAGCAGAACCCATGCCAAACACCGGTATGAGTAGCTTAGCCATGGACGCTAAAGAAAGATTGAGCAACTTGTTCTCAACTACCCCTGCCGGATCAGCAGCCCCTCCAAAACTTCCACCATTGCCAGTTCAAAGACAAAATGATGACGATGCAAACCAAGAGCATAGTGTGCCCAGTCCTACAGTCATAGCAAGCGACCCTGGCAAGAAAGCAGCTGAAGCAGGCTTAGGTCTTTCAGGTCAACAATTGCTAGATCTCATCACTAGACTGACTTCAAAGGATTCAGATGGTGAAAAGCCCCGAACAAAAGAGGCAGAGACTATCAAACTGAACGACATGCCTGCCCCAGAAGCTTATCGTCATTGGCGAAATCATGTCAGGGATGAAGTGAAATCGTGCTCCGACAAACCCGATGAGGCTTGGCTTTGGCTCAATGAAGTCTTTGACAACAAAACCCCTAGGGAAAAGTTGGAGGAAAAGCTGCAGGAACCTGGGAAGTTTATCACACTCGACACCAAATTGTCGGCAGCGTTAACTCGCTCAGCCAAAGGTGATTTAGCAACAAAGATCCACAACTTCAAAGATGAGAAGTCAAAGAAAGGGATCCAAGTCAGAGGTAGGAGAGTCCTTTTGATGTTTGAAGATTACTTCAGGACGTCTGAGGAAGCTGGCAGTCTCTACCGCGTCGAGGACCTACTTGGAGTCGTTCGCACTGGAGAATCTGTGGAGGACCTTAGAAGGTTTCTTAACCGATGGGACGCCACAATTGCCGGCATGGAAACCCCACCAGATGATTTGGTTCTCAGAGACATCTTACTCAGACAAATCCGAAAATGTCAATTGATGAAGTATGACATTGAAGCATTCGACAGAGCTCCTGAAAAGTCAGAACAAAAGTCTTATGCATTCTTGTTGAGAAACATTCGTGATCTTTTGGATAGAGAAAGACTCCGTTCAAACAGAAACAGAATCGTTGAAAAGAACAAGCAGACCGAAAAGCCTCAGCCCGCTGCACCCGCTCAGGGGGGCAAAGATCGCGGCAGAGGAAAGGGCGACCGAGGTCGAACCCGTGGCCGTAGCCAGAGCAGTAAAGGGGATAAGATATGCTACAAATTCAGGGATGGCAAGTGTGAAAAGGGTAAAGACTGTCCCTACAAGCATGTCAAAGATTCCTCAAGATCTGGTACCCCCAAAAGAAAGGGTAAGGGCAAAGGTGGTAGCAGAAGTGGTTCCCCAAACAGAAAGTCGAAGGAAGAGATGGCCAAGATCCCATGCACTTACTTCCAACAGGGCAAATGTCGTCGTGGTGACAAATGTTTTTACAAACATGAAGTTGCAGCTGCACCCACAAAGGATCCAAAACGTACCAATAGCCCTGCACCAAAGAAGAAGGCCAGTGCAAAAGCTGCGCCATGCATTACTCAAAGGTATGCATGCATAGCAAAGGGAAAAGGGTTGCCAAAAGCCACAAAGGCCATGAAAGAACAATGCCATAGAGCCGTTGTGTTTTCATCAAAAGTGGAATACATCAAAGTCCCAGCAACAGGTGAACAGAGGAAGGTAGTGCACAAACCCCGAATCTATGAGAAGACGTTCCCAGATTCAGAGTCAGTGCCAAAACCCGACAAACTCGTAGCTCACCGTGCTCAGGTTTCGGCCCGACAGTTGCAGGAACTTGTGAAGCTCTTCGGCAGTGAGACGCAGCCCAAGTGCCGATTCCGATGCAATGACCCAGAAGGGGGAGTATCATGCAACCACTGTAGAGCAATGATTGGTCCCAAGAACAAAGTTAGTAACACTCATTTGCCCACTGTTGCTACACCGGCATCAAAAGATGGATGTGTTTGGTTGGTTGACACGGGCAGTGAACAGGATTTGATCAGTGAGGGTATGCTGAAGACTGCAAAGGCGACAAACCGCCGTATCAGCGACACTCCGATCAGCCTTGCCACAGCAAACGGTTCGACACGAGCGGATGAGGTGGCCGACGTAAAAGTCGATGCCCTACATCAGCCATTCTCACCATACATTCTTGAGGAAACTCCTGCTGTTCTTTCGGTTGGGGTCAGGTGTATGGAACAGGGTTACAGTTTTGTGTGGCCAGCTGATGGTAGGCCTTACTTCATTCGTCCGGACATGGGAGTCATTGAGCTTAACGTAGACGGCCGTGTGCCGGTCATCGATAGCTCTTGTCGTGTTTTGAACAGTGGACAGTTCAAGAAAGATTGTGATCTGTTACGTCTTTTTGCAATGGTTGCTGCAAAAGCAGGTTGTGCCGATGAAGAAGGTGTAGATGAGGGAGTAGCTCAAGATAGTGAAACCGAATACATCAGATCTAGAAAGGCATCTGACCTTGAGCAAGAGGCATGCAGTAAGTCTCACCAGTTTTGCCATTACCCCAAGAATCCATTTTGCAAGATCTGTCAGAAGGCGCGCATGATGGCGCCACCCGCAAAGAAGAAAGGGGGACAGAAAAGGTTGGAAACCAAAAGTTTTGGGGATCACATTGTCGCTGACCACACTGTAATCAAATCCAATGTGGAAGAAGGCGTCAAAGGTGAAACAGTGGCATTGGTGATGAAGGACATTCACACTCAGTTCAGACACGTTTATCCAAGCCAGACAAAATCGAGTGAATCATGTGTCAATGCTTTCAACCATTTCTTATCTCACAAGGATGAAGTTGGGGCAGTTTACACTGACAATTCACGAGAGCTTATTGCTACAATTTCAGAATTGGGGTACAGACATCAAACATCAACCGAGTATGTGGACAGCTCAAAGTCGTTTGTGGAGAGGGAGATCAGGCACATGCTTGAAGGCACACGCACAAACCTCGTGCAGTCAGGTCTTCCATTGCAGTACTGGCCAATGGCTATGCAGCATTTCTCCATGGCAGTGAACGCCACGCCACAGCTCAACGGTGATGATGCCCCATGGAAACTCAGATTCGAAGAAGATTTTCCAGGTCAGTTGATTCCTTTCGGTGCAAAGATACTGTTTTGGAACAATCCAAAAAGGGTTGACAACACATCTGGAAAGACATCACCAACAGCAAATGATGGAATCTTTTTGGGATACCACATTCAACCTGGTTTTGCATGGAAAGGTGAGTATCTTGTTGCCAAGTTAGAAGCATTGGATTACCATGCAGAAACGGGCAGCATCACAGTGCAGCGAGCACGACGTGTTGAGCTCATCGCGGGAGGTTTTGTCTTCCCACTCCGTGCATTGAAAGAGGCCAAAGAGCCCAAGCCGGACCGCCTAGTCGACAATGTCATTGCTGATCCTCGTCCGATTCCGTTTCAATCCGAATTGCAAACAGAGGAACATGCAGAAGAAAGTGAAGTAGCAATTGACAAGTCAACGGAGGCAGTGCTTGACGCACTTGCCAGTGATGAAAGGCCGGCTGAGGAACCAGTTTTTCCTGATATCAAGTACACTCCAACTGGTACTCCAATCCCGGATGGTTATCATTGGGACGGCACACGCCTTGTGAAAACGTACAAAGGGTCAAAACGCCCTGAGTCGATCCCATCGGATTTTTGGAAAATGCTTAGTCCGAAGGATAGGCAAAAGCTTGTTGAGGAGGAGGCTGAAAAGATGGCTGTAGGCAGCGGTGGTGCTGCATCAAGTTCAGCATCAAAGGGTCCGAAGAAGAAGAAAGGTGCAGTTGCTACTGCAAGAAAGCTTCGGGTAAACCCTAGCCCCTCAGGTGAGCCTAGTGTGTCAACATGGGAGGTCATTCCACAGGATAGACCGAAATTTTGTGTCCCTGCAATGCCGAAAGCAGTTCCAGCAAAACCTGAACTGCATCGCCCGGAATTGAGAGAGATGATCAAGAACAAG